ATATATATATATCTTGATTATAGTCTATCCTTGTGGTATAATGCTTGATGCATTTGCAGAGTGTGGTATATCTGAAGTTGGACAAATCAATAAGACATAATTTTTCTGTGACTCTGAGTCTCACGCTTATGCAATCATCAGACAGATTTTAATGAAGATTATACCTCACTTAGTTTAAATATATATACAGTAGTTAGTTAATTAGTATTAATAGTAGTCTATTGTAATCTGATGTTGATGTTCACTAAGGAATATTTTTTCTCATAGCGGCATATGGAAATTAACTCAGTTCTTTTGTTAAGGTTGCTTGCCTTGTCAGCTTTAATAATGTAGAGTTTTTCAGTTAGGCAGAGGTTACATTGTTGGAAATATTGTTGTAAGTGCTTGCTGAAGAGATGATAGAATCGCTTATTTTGTAGTTTTCATTGTTGTCCTCCCTAGTGAACATCGACACCAGATTACAATAGACTTACTAATTAACTAACTACTGTATAAATATTTAAACTAAGTGAGGTATACTCTTCATTAAAATCTGTCTGAAGATCGCATAAGCGTGAAACTCATTGTATTATGTAAAAAAATGATTTCAAGGAATGTAAGACTGTAATGTGGTGTACAGAAAAGTAAAATGTGGCACAAACTGTAGTAAGAATTGAGCACAGAAACATCAAATGTGGAGCAAACTGTACTAAAAATCACTAAGTATGCGAGCTGTACCTCTAGCCAGTAGTATTTTATAAGTCGCTTTAGATCCTACCAGCTAGAGGTACAAGACCAAATAAAAATAAGTGAATATATGCGTATTCTTGAAAAAATGATTCCAAGGATACCAGCTAGAGAGGCAGCTTATGTATCATGTTCTAAATGAATTTCAAGTAGATAAATTTTAAACTAGCCTGATTTGTATTTTCTTTGGTCATGGATTTATTTCAATACATATATAGCCAGTTGAAATTCATTTTAGACTTGAACTTGTCAACTAGATTTACTGAAGTCTGTCATGTAATACTCTGCCTAAGTATGTGTGGAATTTGTTAGAAAGGAACAGTCTCTATTGATTTATTAATAGAGATTATTGATTAGAAGTATTGTTGACAAGGCCAATCATTGTCTGAAATACTAAAATCAAGTCATCTTCAGGTAGTCATAGGAAAACATGATTTTAATTCATCAAATTGACATTTTTCCTTTGTATTTTTAAGGATATTGAACAGTATGAATGAATGTATGAAAACTTTAAGGAAAATATAGAATGGTCATCAACTATATATACAGAATCTATACAATTATATAAATGAGATTAACTTGTGCCTGTGTTATTGTATTTTTTAATAAAAATTGTTATTATTAAAAAGGACTCACACCTTTCTCATTTGAACGCCAACCGGAAACCCTTCGCCTATTACCAAATAATGCCTGCTTTAGTTTCATCTCACTCATCATTTGATACTCGTAGCTCGTGTGCTGTGCTATCAAATAAGCAGTGGTAGGTACATGACCCACGAACGAGAAGACATTCTTGGAAAAAATGATTCCAATGTAGTATGACTATTTTTATTTTAAATAACTCAAAAATTGGGCAAAGGTCATTAAGAATGCGAGCTGCACCTCAAGCTGGTAGTATTTTACAAGCTCTCTTAGATCCTATTAGCTAGAGGTTCAAGACCAAATAAAATAAATAAATGTATACGCATTCTTGAAAATAGTGATTCAAAGGAGTGTAAGACTAATTTGGGGTACAGAAAAAGTAACGGACCGTTGTAACAATTGGGCAAAGTGGACTTAATATGCAAGCTGTACCTCTAATCGGAAAAATTTTCTGAGCCTCCTAACATCCTACCGGCTAGAGGCACAGGACAATATAAATTTCATCTTGGGGATCTTTCTAACCCGTAGCACTATGACAAGGGCATTATGGTGGCGATACTGTTCATGAGTTTCATTTACCTTTGCAGGAGCAGGTCTTTGCGGCTACAGTGTTAAGCTAAAACGCTGCTGTACAAGAAACTTAGGATCGACGGGGGTGAAGGAAACAGCCACACAAAATTTAGCGAAATTTCTTCGACTTAAACTAAACAATGTATTTTTCACTTGTAAAGTATGTTGTACTCTTCATGTCCGGTGCAATCACGTCGCTTGACTGTTGGTTAGTCACGAATGGTGTTACGGTAGTAGTCCGCCATATTGCAATAGCCGACAATAATCACCCGACTCGGAAAGTCGTTACTAGTGCTCCTCGTTCGTATCTTTAGCTTGGTTGCTACACTTCTTGCGTGACATCATCTTGCACAAACATTTTCATGCGGTTTGCGGCACCGATTCACTCTATTTCAATCATTGCGTTCAGCTGAACCCAAAAGTTTAACTCATCTCGTTCTTTTTGTAAATCCTGCTGAAAGCCTGATAAATTATAGGTCATGCCTTAATATTTCTAATATGGTTCGTTAACATAAAGTTTGGCGAAATACAAACGTAACAATCAAATGAAAGTACAGCTTAAGTTATGCGAGGAACGTAACAGACTATCAAGTGAAAAAAAATTAAGTAGTATTAATATTGACTCGTCAAAATAACAGTATTTTAAACTACTGAAACCCACTTCAATCAGAGAGAAAACCATGAAATCTCAATTTTTCCGCTGTTGACCTTCCATTGTATAAGTTAGTGTAGAAAGCGAAGGTTTGACAGCTGATGCACGTGGCAATAAATAAATTCACTGCAATTGTGAATAATTTTACAAGGGATAAAGTTTCAACGAAGGGTATCGTTTGGATTGAAAATTGTATTGAATTGTATTGTTATTCATAGCTGGACTCAAAACGCGCCATTTTTGAACACAACTCTGACTAACAATTTTCAAACTGAAAAGGATAAAGGTTCCCGTCGGCCAATTTTCGAAATTAAACGGATTCTGTTAAAGGAAAGATTAATCTGCCATTTGTGGTGCGTTGATTTGTCGTGGGTAATAAGGGTTTTCAGAAAATCGCTCTTGAAAATGACTCACGTAAAAAAATGACCGAATTTTGAGTATTTTCAGGTATAAATGGATAATGCTCCTATTTCGTAAAATCGTTCGTTTCAGGTGGATTTTGAAGATACATCTTTAATTTTCGAAAAGCCGTGCGTTGATTTAGAAGCAAGCACATCTTAAATACAGAATAGTGAGTATTACGAAGCCTAGTGGGCCAATTTTTGTCTCATTCTTCTCAAATTTAGGGCTCTTCAAGGCGAGGTGGCATTCAAATTTGCCGCTTTATCGGTATTGAGCATGGAAACGTTCTTAACATGTTCTTAAAGAAGTGTGGTATGGTGTTTTAATAGTACAGACTAAGTTCGACTTCAAAATGAGTTGTTCTTCAGTTTATCATCCAAAGAGAAAACCCAAGAGAATATAATCTCTTGGAAAGTCACACTGTTATCTTCAAATTATACCTTACGTACTTGAGTCAATTGCCCCGTAAAACCACAGTTTTACATTTATTTCACCTTTTTTTATACTTCTTCCGAACAAAAATGAGCAGTGTAAAGAGGTTGTTTCGAGTTTTCTGTTTTCTTCTTTCTTTCTTTTACAGAGAAAAAGCATTTTCAATCATTCACTATCAGCTTTCGTGTATTATTTGTTAGGGACTAGTCAGATACAAAACTCCGCGCAAAATGGCTCGTGATCGAAGGTTTCTTCGATGCTCTGTCGCTACTTACCACGAGTGATACTAACTGATATGCAAACAAAATAAGTTATCAGTCCTACGAAATGAACAATTTTAGTTTTATTTTTCTGCAGTAAAAATTATGGTATTTACTAATTGCTATTTGCGTTAGGAAATTAAAAGACGTTTCACTACTTTGACGGATTTCACTCAAATTAGACTGAGCATTAAACCAAAAGACGACTGGTAACCGGGTGATCTGTGCCGTCAGTTTTTTTTGTTTTGTCTTTTTTTAAAATTATTCCCACTTAAATAATCTACTTCCTTGACGTCGAAATGTTCATAGTCATCTGAATATTAGCTTCAGTTTCTTCATCAACAAGTTGGAAACTGTGGGACAGTTGAGGATTTATCATAGATTACAAAATGCTTGTTGCTTACACAATTTTTAAACAAGAACTATTTTAATTATTAAACAACATGATAGTTAGAAAGAGAAGATTAAACTTCGTCAGATGGTCACAACTATTATATGAATGTTTGCAATTATGACTTCCACGAATCAAGACTTAAGAATTCTTGGTTGGTCCACTTCAGAGTTTTCATCTTCTTTTCCTAGACGAGACCGTCATTTGCTGCATCCTCTGAGCAAGGAACTGGGGGTTTGACTGACAAGATAGAGGAAAAGGAGCAAATATTATTTCACAGCTAGTATATAAGTTAAATTGTGTAATTATTTGCAATGAGAGGAAGGTACAAAAAATGAAAATATTTTGTTGGCAACGTCAAATTCAAGAAAATGATAAGAAACATTACTGAAATTCAACTTAGATCGAAACGATTTTGTCACATACTGAAACGAAGCTAGTCTCACCTTCAAAATAATCATGCTCAATAGCTTCAAGCTTATTTTGATTATTCGGCCCCATGATGAACCGATATAACCACGAAAAGAACGAAAGGCACAGCTTCACGATTCCCAGTAAGCATCGAGATATCCTTTTAAGAATTATGATCATCATTTTTGGGGGAATAAGTCTGAAGGATGGTTTCTGTCGTTCTTCTCTTTAAGTTCAGTTAGTGTGTTTTGCAGAGAGTCCGGGAATGGACTTATGCGTTCCCTCGAAAAAAAAAAAGGGAAAAAAAAAGCAATACACGGTACTCGTGTTGTGGTTGGTCGAGATTAGGCAAAATAAGCTGAAACGAATCTGAATGGGGTGAAACGGGTAACAAGTAGATGGCGAGCAGATAAGAGTTGGTGGGAGCAGGTGGACTCAAACGTTGAAGCTTGGGCTGCCTTGTACAACTATTTCATTACCGCGGTAGACTGGTAATGATTGAGCGTTCCAAGATGGCGTCAAAAGATCAACACGTCTTCGGAAAATAGATATTCACTAGTTATATTCCTCTGGGACCCTCTTTTAAATAATTATACCTGTAGATTGCTTGAATATCAATCTAGCGTCTTGGGTAAAAGGTGAAAAGAGTTCAAGCCAGCTGTATTTTACAGCACCTGGAGAGATCCTTTGAAAGGAACAGCTCATTAGAGTAAACTTCGCTTAATAATTTATGCGGCTAAAACAAATCTTACCACAGAGATTTACCAACAGGACACGCTCAGAAGATGCATAAAGCTGTACTGACGCTGGGGTTGCTCATTAACATATGTTCCTCGATTTGTATCGTTTTCCTGAACAAATGGCTCTATGTTCACCATGGCTTCCCGAACATGACTCTTACATGTATCCACTTTACCACCACGTATATTGGCCTCCGCCTGTGCGCTTTCTTCAATGTTTTTCAGCCAAAAAGGTTGTCTGTACTTAAAGTGGCTCCGCTATCGTTGGCGTTCTGTGGCTTCGTGGTGTTCACAAATCTCAGCCTTCAGAATAACACAGTTGGAACATATCAGTTAGCGAAAGCCCTGACCACACCGACCATTGTGGCAATCCACACGTTCTTTTATAATAAGAGTTATTCAACACAAATCAAGTTAACAGTTGTGAGTGAAGCTTTTGTCATGAACAAGTTAACATCCTTACTTTACAAATTCAGCACAATTTGGGGGGGGATGGGAGAGGTTGAAGCCTTTAATCTTGCATGAAACGAAAGAGATGATCATAGTCAATTCAGGAAAAAATTGAATATGTAGATGAATGGATGCATGGGAAACCTTGGAGGTGAGAGGGCAAGGGGCTGTGAACTTCATCTTCCAATTTCATACTTAAATTGAAATATAACAACAAGAACAACAAAAACTGTGGGGAAAAATGGCCAAAGACCTTCACAGAAACTTTCATATGCAGCCACCATTCAGCTTGCCTTTTGTATATATTATTCCTCTGTTCTTGAAGTAAAGATATACATAAGTCGAACAAAGAGCTAGAGATTATCAAGGTGTACATGGGCCCAGTGTGCAGAGTATGGCAGAACTGGATGAGATCTTGTGCTTGCAATGTAATTCTGGCATGCAAAATTGTGCTTCCACCTGCCATACTCTGCTGACTGCATGAGGCAGTACAAATTAGTATAACTTATGCTTCTACTTCTGGAGAGGGGATGCTAATCCATTGTAGTTACAGACTAACCCTTAAAGAGAGAAAAGACAAAGAACAAGCCCCTGAATCCACAGATAGTTCAGCATTCTAACAATCATGCAACCACTCTTCTCAGTAGGATTATGCATGGACATCTGATGATATTTCTTTAATTGAGAGTGCTACTATGATTATTTGGTTGGATAACCTCTACACTCTAACATCAGTACGCATATTCTCAGTTGTGTTCGCTATACATATCCTGAGGTGCTTTTAAAGAGAATATGTCATACAATCAAGAAGTTTTTTTAGTTGGTGATCATTTCCTTTATTCTTGTGGCCTTATTGTGTGATTTAGGGGTGAAATTGTAGAGAGAAATTAGATGCTAGTTACCCTTACAAATCTAAGGGCTTATGGGAAAAAAAATCTCTAATCAAACTGCACAGCTGTTTTTTTTTTAATAATAATAATAATGAACGTTCTTTAATACGCATTTAAGAATCTCAATGCGCTTACAATTTTTTACTAAGGTTGAGATCGGACGTCAGCATAATCAGGCGCCTCTGGCAGCCGCTTTAGTCCATGTAACGACCTCACCTTTTCCCCCCCATCCCACCCCAGGGGAGGACATCCATCACACAGTAATCTCGTGCGTGTCTCCTACCCCTAACCCTGCAGGAGACGGGACCTCCATTTCCCTTTTATCTAACCATTTCTTGATGTTGAGAAAGGAAGCATATTCTTCTCAGTTAATTTTAAGACCCTGAGTGTTGGTCCGGCCGGTATTGAACTCTCGACCTCCCGCACAGCAGTCCGGCGCTCTCCCAATTGAGCTAACCAGGCGGCGGTTTTTCTACCCAAGTTTAATTTTTGAACTTGACTTGCTATTTCTTGCAGATTCCAATCATTGTGGGAGTGTTTTTAAACTCTTACTATGATGTCAAGTTCAACTGGGTTGGCACTTTCTATGCAAGTTTGGGTGTGATAGTGACATCTGTCTATCAAGTGGTAAGCTTAATTAAAAACTGAGTTTTGATTGGCTGAAACAATGTGCTTTCCAAATGAAGGCATTATGACTCTATATTCCTATCATTTCCCTGAAGACTCCAAAATATTGCAATCTATTATGAAAGATTTCTTCACAAAATAATTAAACAAAATGATCTAAACTGCTCTAAAACAATGCCATTTAAATAATTATATCTGAATTAAACTGATGGTTTGTTTTAACAATTTACTTCTCAGTGGGTAGGAACAAAACAAAAAGAATTCCAAGCAAATTTTATGCAGCTCCTGTATTATCAGGTCAGTTAACTCTTTTATACCCTAACATCAGTATGCATATTCTCTATATTTTCTCTATACATTTCCTCAGGTGCTGACAAGGAGAATTTGTTTAACAATCAAGAGCTTAGTTGGTGATCATTTCCTCTATTTCTCATGTCCTTAATGTGTGATTCAGGGGTGATATATTATTGTAAGGAGGAATATGCTGCTGGTCACTCGTAGGAGTCAAAGAGTAAAGAAACTTTCAGATTTAACTTTGAGTATCACTGGTTCTCATTTGCCTATTTCATTTCTAATCCTCCTTCCCAGGCCCCTATTTCTGCAGCCATGTTAGCAGTAGCTGTTCTTATTTTTGAACCAGTAACATCAGAGAAAGGACTTCTGTCTTCCTGGTCTGGATCTTCAATTGTAAGTGGCATGAGGTGAATTTATTGAACCCTATAACTCCCAAGATCTGATTGTTTACTGCCCCCTCTAGCTGCCTTACCTTTCCTTGTAAATTAAACACGAAAATTTAGCATTGGATCAAGATTACAACTTCTACTGGATAATTTTGAGTATTCTTCTTAACTGTTTGGTGGATAATGTATCAATGTTTTAGGGGAAGTTACTTGTTAATCGCTTCTGGGAGGTAAAGGGTTAACAAGGTATTCTCACCACATATAATCTCCTGACAAACTAGTCATGTTGGAAAAGTCTGTATGCAATCTTGATCGCATAGCTCCTGCCAGAGCTTATTCCAGTTTCTGCCGAGCATGAAGTGACCATGAATATTGCACATAAGAGTTTTATTTCTGACCATTTTTTGGTACATTGACAGAAACAAATTGATTTTATGGTTTCTGTGTGGTTATACTAATTTAAAGACAATTCTTGACCTCAATGTTGGTGAAAGTGGTGGATGTTAACCTTGGGGCTTATGCATTGTTTATTTATTTTATTTTTTTTAGCTGGTGGTACTAGCATCTGGTGTGGTGGCTTTCAGTGTGAATCTATCAATCTACTGGATTATTGGAAACACATCTCCTGTGACGTATCCTTAATAACAACATTTCAATATTTTAACTTGATTTTACATATATGACCATTGCCAGATTTGAGGAAATTTGATTTTCTTTGTGTTCATAATTGTATAAGAAACTGTCAAATTTTCTTTTTCCATGAAGTCTACTATTTCATACAATACTCCATTTTACAGTTGCGTGCTTGGTTGCCAAGCCTTTGAACAGGAGTGAGGCTAAGGGTGACCTAGTTATGAAACAAACCTTGCTGCTTTTCAAATGTAAATGACTTTGTTATTATGCAAACTAGATACTGGTCTCTATCACAACATGGTCAACTTCAGCCTCACCCCAAATCAAAGGCTTGGCAAATAAGTACATAACTGTAAAATGGCCTATTTAATATAGTGACTTCATTAATAGAACAAGGATAATGTCAAAATGTGGGAAGAACAAAAAAATGGCACATGAGGTGCAGCTGTGTGTGCCAGTGAATGGATGTTCTTACCACATTTTTGCATGTTCTGCAATCTGTTTCTGTACAGACCTAGGGCAACATGAAATCCATTGTTCTAAATAATATAAAAGGAAAATGATATTAATGATGAAATCATCCATGTGTCTGTCCTCCAATAGATCATTAGCAAGAACCAATCAAAATACTTGTATATAGCTCTTGATTATTGACCATGCAAGTTGGAATTTCCACAGTTATTGTGAAAATAATTCTTGAAATTTTATGTATATTTTTGGTTGGAATTTGTTTCTTAACCAATATAAACAGATACAACATGGTGGGACATTTAAAATTCTGCATTATTCTCATGGGAGGTTATTTCATATTTCATGATCCACTCCGTACCAACCAAATGATGGGTGTGGCTACAACCCTCGCAGGAATCATAGCTTACACACATTTTAAACTTGCAGAGCAGAATAATTTGACTCTGCCAACAGTCACCAGAAAAGTCTAAAATGGACCATGTGAACAAAATAAGAAGAAAAAAAGAAAAATTATGATGAAATATTTTATGAAATAATATTAATAATCTTGGTACCAAGAGAGGCGATTGCTTGTTTTAACCCTTTAAATCCTAGATCAAATTTTTAATTCTCCTTACTGTCAACCATACAATTCTTACAATGTTAGTTCAGAGAATTTAGTATTGGATCAACTAATGACCCCCTAATTGGTATTTTTCTTTATTCTCATCACTTGTCTGGTTGATATTGTATTGATATTGTAAGGAGAAATACTGTCTTGGTCACTCATGGAGTAAAGGGTTAAGAAAAACATACACCAGTGGTGTGAAGAATTTTTCACTCATTTGTCTTTTAAACTTCATTTGGTCCTGAATTTGACATTTATTTAATAGATTGAACAAAATTGGTCGAGGGAGAGTTGGCCCCCATTTCAGTCCAGGATACTAATATTAATGATATCAATAGTGATTATTGTTATTATTTTAATAATATACATGAAAAAATTATGTGCCTCTGATTGGCTTAAAACAAGTGCATTTTTCATTTAACATGAGTGAAGTTGTAACATGAGTGCAGGCTCATGCAATTTTGTTGTCTTTGATAAATTTACTCATGCTTATAAACACCCAATTGCACTTGTAATCACGTTTATACCCATACTAATTATTTACTGGGAAGCTCTGTCACTTAATGATGTAATTGTCAGAAAAGTCAGAGGGAAAAATATTTTAACAAGATAAATAATTTATCTTTATCTTTATTTATAATTTAACTTGTTAATCTTAGTGAATTTTCATAATTGCTATCTCTGTTTCTTCTTTTTTAATTATTAAAAAAGAAGAAACAGACATAGCAATTATGAAAATTCACTAAGATTAACAAGTTTAATTATATTTTATGAAGTAATTTTGACTGTGAGCATGGCGTTAAGGCAAAATAGAAGCTTTTTCAGCCCACTTATCAAGGCTTTGAATCAGCAAATTGAGATGCTACTAATGATTTAAGGGTGCAAGTTTGTAAAGAAACTGTGGTGCTGCATCAGTAACTAAGTTCAGCTTGATAAAATGTAAATTGGCTGCCATAAAGAGCTTTTAAGTTGATGTTTTGAGTGTTAGCCCTTCATTAGAGCATATAACAAAGGGCTAATGCTTGAAATGTCAGCTTAGAAAAAACTCTTAGTGGCCAATTTACATTTATCAACTCATTAGTTAAACCAAATTATCCTCCTATGATTAATATGGATGGGTGTTTAGATTCTGTTTCTTGATTGGGATGAAAGGTGTCAATGTCTGCTAGAGAGGGCCTGAAATATTTCTTTTTGCATTTGACTGACTGTCTGCTCACAACAAGGATGCAATCACATACTGAATCTGTAAATACTGTGTTACATCTTATTTTTAAGATGTCCCACATAGTTTTTGTTTTTCTAAAAGGTTTGGCAGATCCTGACCAAATTTGATAAATAATACCATAAGTTATTTGTTTAAATTATATATTAATTTATTCATAACTGAGCTTTATTTAAAGGTAAATTGTGTTTTTAAAGGAGTAAATGATATAATCTTTACAAGTTTGCTCATTAATTTCTGGGCAATATAAAGTGTGCCTCTTCGTGTAAAAATTAAAGACTCTTTTGATGTGGATGTGTATGATAATGTTTTGGTCTTCAAACAATTTGTTGTTTTGAGATTTTCATATTTTTACTTGGATTAGTTTCCTCCCCCTCCAAAAAAGTTAATAGTCCTGAACATGTAATGAAAACTTTGTATTCAGGTGGTGACAAAACTATGACTCACAGAATTTAACATTTAATTAAATAAAAACATTTTATTTGTAACCTCAGGTTTGAAATCTTCATTAAGAAAGCTCTAAATCATCTGAGAAGGATGACACAAGGTCCTATGGCATAACTCATTTTTATGATCTAGGAATGTACTGCTAAGAGTAAGCACAGCTGCCTATTCCTCGGTGTAACCATGGTGATGTTCCGGAGGCAACTGCATTGGTTTCATATAAAGGATAACATTTCTCTCCAAGAATGTTTTTTTAAAATCTGTCAACCAATATTTCCCTTTGATGCTAAAATTGGGAAAACATATTAGTCAAGAGATGACTAATTTTGAAAAAGTAACAAAGCTTGAATGCCACACTAAGAAACACAGAAGGGAGCTCAAGCAAACGATGACAGCAATTGCATTGAGAATATTGCAAAACAAAGGATCAAATTGGCATCTAACAATGGCTCCATCTCTGCGCTTGAACACTTTTACATTTCATGGCTGTCCCCTACAAAACAACAATGTGAAATAACCAAAATCTGCATAGCCTGAGAACAGAAATTCCTTAAGTTTCCATTTGCAATGCTGATATTGAGGTGTGGTTCTGTGGAGTGGTAAATGCATTCATCCTTTCGCAAAATTTTAACAAAATACATTACTCCCTTTTAAATCAATGTCTCTCTCAGCATTGCATCATGACTGCTCTCTAATGTGTGACAATTGTCTAACAGAACTGGAAATGATTTGTTGTGACAAACAGCTCCACAATGACAACTCAGGGGATGTGAAGCATGTGCTGAACATTGCCATGGTGGTTTTGTGTGTAATTTGTTTTTTCAAGATAATGCACCCAACAGTGTCACTCTACAAGAATCCAGGAGGGAAGCCTCTTGAAGGATTAAAGTGTCGATCTGGATGTCTCCCTCGTCGTGATGGCCCAGGATTCTGATTTATGTCTGGTAAGGGTCCAAAAGGGTCAAATCGAGGTCGTGGCAAACCAGTCCCTGGTGAGATGCCAGGTGTTGGATTAATGCCACCAGGCATAAATGGCAGATTTGGAAAAAGATCTCTGTGCCCACCTGAAAGAAATGAGACTTTAGTACCAAGAGCAACAAGCCAAATCAGAGCCTCAGAGACTCATTTTCAGCACTAGGCAATAACATTTAAGCAAACTACCTGATGGCCAAAAGCAGGATGCCAAATGGGCAACTTAACCTGAAAACCTTTCACTCTCAAGGTCTTGTAAGTAATTCCCCTCACAGCCTCTCATAGAATTCTTATGATGTTAGTTCAGAGAATTTGGTATTGGATCAACTAATAATTCCCTGATTGGACTCGTTTTTTATTATTCTCATCACTTGTCTGCTTGATATTGTATTGATAATGTAAGGAGAAATTCAGTTTTGGTCACTCATAGGAATTGAAGGGTTAAGCAGCAAATTTGTAGCCTAAACCAAAAAAAAATATATCAAATACCACAGAAAAAATATATTTTTTTTAATGTAGATGTTTAGCTACTGCCATTTGATGGGTGTTGTTTTTATTCCTAGTATTTGAATTTTCCTTTTGCATGTCTGGTTACTAAAACCAGCCTAAAAATTGCTGTAAAAAGTGACCCAAAGTGTTCCACCTACCTATTATACCAGGTGGAAATGTGTCCCCCCTGTAACGCTGTGCACCTAAACCATAATCAGGTGGGTATATTCCATGAGGCGGTACCATAACTTGCATCCTCATTTGCTCCTGGGTTTTCCTTTGTTTGTACAAATGAATGTATGTCTGCAAGAATCAATAAAAGTCAAATTAATGATACACTTTTCATGAAAAAATTTACCACTTCCTTTGTTTTGTTTGTGGGAGACATAGTTGGTAGTGCATAGATTAGTGAACAGGTCTTCTTAACAAAAGTTTTTGACTCAGGACCTGGTTAAGTCATTATGTTGTGTGATTGGGTGAGACACTGAAAACTTTAAGTGCCTCTCCCTCCACCTGTGAGTATAAATGGCTACCAGTGAACTGCTGAAATGATATGAAATGCAGGGAGGAATCCTGTGATTGACTGGCTTCCCATCCAAGGAGAGTAGCAATATTCCAAGACACTAAATGCACAATGAACTGTGAAAAGCTTCAGAAGAATTAAGTTTTCCCACTAGGCTTCCATTCATTCTGTCTGCTTTTTCATCCTTTATTAGCTTTTGAGTTGTGAAAACTGCTATGGGTGCTGAACCTTACAGGACTTTTGGGATACACACACTTTTCAAAACGTACTAATGACAACAAACCATGGTGCTAACAAAGAAACAAGGTTCTGTAACTTACAGTAGAGACCAAGAAATCAAAGCTAGCAAGATGTTTGTTATATCTCTGGGTTAAAATATGGTAAATTAAAACAAACTTTTGAATTTAGTGGGCTGTACAGTGACATAGAGCCTGCTAAATTGACCAATCATAGCCCACATATTAACTGAGAGATATAATAAAATTGGTTATTAATTTTCAACAATCACTCATAGTTTGGAAAACATGGAGTAAACCCTTTCACTCCCAAGATCTGATTGCTAATTCTCCCTTCTATCTGCTACATATTTCCTTTTAAATTAGTTATGAGAATTTGGTTTTAGATCAAGATAACAGCTTCTACCTGATAATTTTTATTATTCTCATTACCTATTTGCTGGATAGTGTACAGATATTATAGGGAGAAGTTACATGTTAATCAACTCTGGGATTTAAAGGGTGAATACAAAGTACTTACTGCCTTCCAGCTTCTGGTTTGTTCCTTAACATTTGCATCTAAAATCAAGATGTGGTGCATAGTTTGATTACGTTTGAACCAAAAACAAAGTATTCACAACTATTAATCAGAGGTGAAGATATTTCCACAAGGAACCAATAAGGTTTTAGTTTGAATCTGATTGATTGAGAAGATGGTGTGAGTTTTCACAAAGGGAAGTACCGCAAAGTCATAGCAATCCTCACTGCTATGTCTGCTCTGAATGTTGTTAACTATTTATACCCCATAATGGGTATGCACATTCTCCCTGTTGTTGTCTATAAATTTCCTAAAGTGCTGACAAGGAGAATTTGTTTGAAAATCAAGAGCTTCTTTAGTCGGAGATCACTCCCTTTATTTTTGTTACCTTCTTTGAAGGAAGGGGGACAAAGACACCCAATTTTTATCTCAAGCTGCATCTTACCAAAATCTCTCAACACAAGGTGCTGCCATAACGTGGAATCACTTGAAAGAGATCTCAGTTCTCTGCAAGTGCAAGAAACATTTATAATGCTCTGAACTGGAAGATTTCCAAGAATCATCAGCTGAAAGGGAAAAAAAATGTTTTCAATAAGGAAATCACAAGAAGAACAAAGTATATGTTTTAGTTTCTATATAAATTGCCATATTGATCAAGCAATGTTGTAATTTTCAGAAGCATGTAAGCTCCAGAGTTCAATGCCTGACATTTACTGTAAATCTCATCCCAAAGGGCACACAAACAACATGGAGAGAAATCCACCAATCCTACCACAAGATCATGACCTTAGCCCAATGAAAAATATTTTACTTGTCTCTTGCCATGTCAAAGATATCATTAGAGCTACACTTTACCTAGAGATTGATGAGCTACTAATAAAGAAAAAAGTATTTTGTGTACCTTAACTTCTGCAGGTACAGCCATAAAACCACATAATTGTGGTAGTCCTAGAGCTGTAAAATAATAATATGACAGAAATAAATAAGAAAGCTTGAAAAAATTTTAAGCTACATCAAATTCGTCGCTTTGTCAAAACTACAAAAAGAAGACTTTGTGATATCTATGATACCTCATTAACAATTAGAGTGAAATAAGATCCTAGTCAGAAAACAATATCATGAAGATATTTTATCATAACTTACTATAAAATTGTTCATAAAATACCATAAAAATTTTATGTAAAAGCTGCATTGAGCTGAAAACTGTGGGCGCGGCATATACACAGGAGCACTGCTTTCAGAGGGAGTACACTGGGTTGTGTAAGGTCTCAAAAAGCACCTAAAACCTTCAATAAATAAAGATCAAACAAATTGAAACCATTTGTTGATCATTTCTTTCGGTAGAAATGGCGAATCCTAAGTGAGCCATTTGTAACTTTAGGTTCTAAACTTGAATCTCACTTGCCAGTTGTTCTTTCAAGCATTTCATTTGCACCTTGCATGAGTTTTTTAGGGTATTAAGCACATATGGATATACATGAATTTATTTATCATATATACTATAAAGTTTTGGAATCAATATTCACCCTTTAACTCTCTAGATCTGATTGTAAATTCTCCCTTCTAGCTGCTACACATTTCCAAGTAAATTAGTTATGAGAATTTGGTATCAGATCAAGACAACAATTTCTACCTGATAAGTTGGAGTATTTTCATAACCTGTTAGCTGGATGACATATGCATGTTACAGCAAGAAGTGAAATGTCAATCACTTTTCGAAGTTAAAAGATTAACCTCACAAAACCAACCACTGAAACAGGAAAACTGCCTCACCAGCTCTCATAAAGGACAACAATGGATAAGCAACTTGATCCTTAAATAACCTTGACAGCCGATGAAGGTTATAATACACTGACAAGGCTCCTGTAGAAAATGATAAAAAAAAAGGGAAATTATCACTGACTGTAAAATACTAAGTTTCCCTATTTGTGCTATTATAACAAATGAGGAAATTGAATTTAGTTATTCTTTGCCAAATCCTCTCTCCATATCCAAGGAAAAAGGGGCAAATTTTCATAAAAGAAAGCAACAGAGTATGAGTGATATTTTATGAAAATGTTTATCTTACTTTGAGCACAAAAACTAGGATATAAAACATCACAACTTGCTAGATGATCACTGAACTCAAGTTGACTAGCACTGTAAATTTAGAAGCCCAATTTTTCTAGCTAGCATGGGCCTCAAAAGGCTTTCACCTTGGAGCACTGATACTGATCTATTCACAACATCACTGCTAGTAGTACCTTATGTATATTAGCACTCACCACTTGTTTTGAGATCCACATTTCCCCTGACAAAGTCAGTTGGTTGTAACTTGCATTGATAAATGTCACTTTTTGCAACTGAATTAGTGTGACCTAAGAGCAAGAAAGAAAATATTTAATTGTATATCTGTACACTGACAACAATATTCAACAATGATGAGTGCTCACCATGTAGCATCATGAATGGACCAAGAGAGGTGCACGTCAGAGAGCAGGTTAAACCAGGACACGATGAATGTGTGTACATCACTTTAACAATACCACCTGTCTTCCATGCCTTAGAGGGCTCATCTCTGTTCAGTTCCTTCACTTTCCCCATTTCTGTTGGTTCCTGAGGATTAATGCCCAAAGAAGCTTTAGTTTCTTTTACATGACAGACTGTTGGTGTGACTGCTGTCTGAGTTAATTCTTAGTGCACATTGTGAGTTCAGATTCTCTGTTGATGCAAAAGGGTGTGAATGTTGATTTGCAAAGTCCCTAGAATCTGTAAGGTTTTTCTGCATTGTACACAAGGCTTTGTAAATATTTTTGTCCAGGCATAGCAGAGATGATAGGCAAGGGTATATATCTTTACATCTTATTGTTTTTACTTGTTTTTAACTTTGATTGTTGGTTTGTTAACAGCGTAATTTAGTGTTATCAAGTGAGTTAATAACATAAATTCGCCAACATAAAGAGTTTCTCTATTTGCTCTGATGAGGGCGTAATGCTCAAAATGTCAGCTTTGAAAATCTTTACATTGGCCAATTTACATTAGCACCTGAGTTCCTAATACCAAATTACTTAAAAAGTAAACTGTTTTGCCCAAGAACACAGCACAACACAATGATCCAGTCAGGCCTCAAACAGGAACCTCTCCACCCATTACCATTGAGCCACCACATTTTAAATAATAATAATAATAATAATAATAATAAATAATAATTTAATAATTTATAGACTTATATTGCGCAATTATCAAAATAAGAATTTTTAATTGCGCATTACAATTAAATGTTAAAAACTCAACCCCTACATAGATACAAAAAAACTAAAAAAAATAAAAAATAAAAAATTAAAAAATTAAATAAATGAATAAATAAATAAATATGATCACTAAGAAGATGTAAAAATATGAAATTAGATACAAAGAATTAAAAAGCTTTGGCAAATAAAAAAGTTTTAATGGCCTTCTTAAACTTGTTTAAAGATTGGGTGTTTCTGATACAGCCCGGAAGATCGTTCCACAAATAATAATAATTTATAGAAACCACATTTAACCAAGGGTTGCATTTGATCTGAAATGCAATTACAACTTACCTCTAACCCACAGATAAAACCAGTCTCTAACATCAAAACACGAATAACAACCCATGCAGCCTGGTGAATGGTTCCAACCCCTGTAGCTCTATATAAGTCTTCTAACATAGGTGGAATTCCTTCCCGACAAAGAACCAGAGATCTGACGGATGACACAGATCCTGCACTTGACACAGATGAAAAAGATCCTGGACGATGTTGAACATTTTCAGTTCCTGCCTCTCTGGTTTTTTCTTTACTCTGTTCATCATGTTGTTTTCCATGTGTAGACAACACTGACCTCACCTAATGCCCATATAGATAATAAAAACAGGTAGGAAAAATTCAAGAAAATACTTTGATGCCTACATTAATGGCGCAAAAAAAAAATTTTGAAAAAATAAATACATTTTTAACCCTTTAACTCCCAAGTTCTGATTGTAAATTCTCCCCTGTTTCTACTACTCATTTCTTCGTAAATTAGTTACGAGAAGTTGGTGTTGGATCAATGTAACAACTTAAACCTGATAAGTCCGAGTAATCTCATGACCTGTTTGCTGGATCATGTATGGATATTATGGGGAAAATATATGTTAATCACTTCTGAGAGTAAAGGGTTGAACTAATGGAAACAAATCTGCTGCTTGGTTGATCTTGTTCTACATTTCAAAAGGAATTGACCTTCCAGCAAACAAAGAAAGACAACTTGGAATGTATTTGTTGATGAAGGGTTAGGTAGGAACTGCCTGTGCTTGGATTTTAAGGGTTAAAACCCTTCTTAGTTAACTCTTGCGACTGACCAAAACAGCATTTCTCCTTACAATGCCGATACAATATCAAGCAGACAAGTAATGGGAATGTAGAAAAACTCAAATTAAAGGGTTAAGGGTTGATCCAATACCAATTTCTCAGAAGTAATATTGATCATAAGATTATTCTATGGCTCACAGTAAGGAGAATTACTAATGAAATCTTGAAAGTGAAAGAGTTAAAACAAATCACTTTACCTGGGATGGACCAGCTACCGGTTCTGTGGAGTGAAAGGAGGGTGTGCGAGTACTATGCACAGTAGATCTTGAAGAACCAGGAGCACTGAGGTTATCTGATGTTATTTCTTCCTCATCGTTGTTGAGCAGAACGTGGATCAAGTCACCATTTACTATTCCCAGGTCTCTGAGGAGTACAGAGTCATTCTCTAAAATATCTTTCCCATTCAGGCTCAGATTAAAACTGTTTTCTCTGAAAATTTCAACAAGAATTAGAAATTACTGAATATTAAAAACAAATAAAAAAAAAAGATGATGCAGTGCACTTGTGTCGTCATTACCTCAAACCAAATTTTCTTTGGACAGCTTGGCGACAGTGACTCAAGGTTATTGCATCTCCTGACAATTCTAGCACTTCTCTACGCTTATTCAAGACAGCTCTCAGTTTCATTTCAATCAAATGCAACCAAATTTCGCGCAAAATCGTCCAAAATTTGTTAAGTCATGTCGGCAGCCATCTTGAGTTTTGACGCGCATGGATCTGTGGGTAGATAAAAATGTTCTCCAGCGGGTAGGGGGACAGGAAATTTTTTGTACTCTCTAATAAAGGCTTCTATTTCAAACAGGGATGGCCAGTTAAAAACTTCTCCACCAAAACTTGATGATCTCCCTGTATCTCCACAGTCTCCCCTCTAACGACTCCACCAGCTCCGATTTTCTTCTTAAGTTCTTGTAATAAAATGCCAGGATCGCCGGTAACGTTACTTACAACTGTGACCTTCTTCCCTTTGGCGCGATTTTCGTACGAAATTGGAATCTTCCCTTTCTTTGTGCGTTTGACGGCAAATCCAATAGTTTCGTTTGTTTTTTCCTCCTCTTTTGAAGTTGACCTCGTTCCTACAAAATCCAGTTGATCTGCGGAAGAAGCTCCTTCGCTAACAACTGAAGTTTGTGAAGCCAAGGAACCGCTCAGAAAGCTTGCTAGCGTCAATTCTGGAGGTCTTCTTTCTCTATCAGATTCTTTCGGAACTCTGTTGTTGCGTTTTGGCATTCTAAACGAGCAAATTCTAGCATTTCTCAGTCAAAATCCTGTCAAAATCCTCACCATTACTACACTCAACTAACTTCATATATCTTAGAACTTTTGAGAGGGTCAGCGGATTCATGTGTCATGCGCAAAAAGTGTAAACAAACTTCGATCACAACAAACCATTTTAGCAGCTCTGGAGGAATAATTGTAATTCGGCCCATTCGGTCCAAAACTATTGTTTGCGATGGATCTTTTCCAAAGTTGCCGTCGAGGTGACCTCGATCGAGTCAGGTAAGATATCCTAAAGGAACATGAGTGCATTTTTTTGTGTTAGTGATTCGAAGTTAGATATGTACATGTTCAGACGTTGTACATTTCACGCTCGTTGAAATTTGCGTACATTTCAAACTGACAACTTGGTTGAGTGCAAATTGTATCCAAGGAATGATGTAAGTAACCGTTATCTTTCAATATCCTGGCAAAAATTGCCGAAAAATGGTAACAGCTGGTAGCAAGCGCCCGATATGAATTTTAAATTCGCTAGAGGCAAGGGAGAGCATCTGCAGTTCACCCGTACTGCAGCTGATTTTCAACTTCTTTCAGTTTGATAAGCTTGATATATGGAACGTTGCAGATGGTCAGTTCAAAATGACCTGAAATTCTTTTCAGGTTTTCTACCAATAAAGGCAGTTTTTTTCGAAGAAAGCCTGTTCAATTTTTTTAGCTGATCGAAACGAAATAAAAAACAAACCATAACAAAAACAAAATTTTAACGCGATACATCTTTCAGTTGTGTTTCAAAGTGTTGCTTTCAAACAGTCGGTAAAATCCGTTTCTAAAGGTTACTAAAACTCGTCTCTTTTGACAAATGATGTGTTCCTCGGTAGCTTTGCAGTCTTATCACCTCGACAATTAGACACTTCGGGAGAAGTAGTGCAGTGCGTTTCCGAGCCATTTCGACAAATTTCGGAGAAAATGCAAGACAACTGAACGAAGACAAAGCTAGCTTTCAACTGAGACAACAACAAAAGTAATTTGCAGCTTAAAAAATAAGTGATTTGAAAAAGTCCTCCATGGAATGAGGGTTTTTACACTTAAACCATCAATTAATAAATATTAATATTGTAATTAATTATATAAGCATCTTTGTAGTGTTCTGCATGAGAAATCACGAAGATGCATATATTTGACAAGAAAGTAAACATTGAAACTGGCTTTCGTTTATCATACTAGACTTGTCACAAATATTTTCGACTTGCTTGAAAACGGAGAGCTAAAACACAACTTACGTGCACGAGATTATATTGCATAATTGCTTGAGCTTAGTTGAACCTCGATTTAACGAAGTGCCAACGGACTGGGCAAATTGGTTCGGTATATCGAGAGTTCGTTATATCGGAAACCTCGATTTAACGAATTTGCGGGAAAACAACCAAACTACTTGTTATATCGAGGGATGATTAATAGTTGTTTTTGTTTCGTTTTGTTTTTTTTGTGTGGTGTGACGTCGCGCTACCCAGCAGCATTTTGGGATCGGAACGATAACTGTAAATAACATTAATGCTTTGATATCTATATGAAGCTACAGTACACTGTACAGGTCTGTACATAGCTACAGCACCTTGCTTTTAAAGCACAGAGGACAAATTTCAGTGGAAGTCACAGGCAAACGAAGAAACAAGGGCATTGAACTGGAAATTCCCGTCTCTTTCACCTTTTACTACAAGAAGCCTTCAAAAATAATCAGACACAAAGAGGATAAAGCCGATCCGTAGATGTGTCGAATGTGTCAGTGTCGGCATTTATAATGAGCTGTTAAATTTAAAGTTATCCTATTGTTACAAAATTGAAAGATTTTGATTCTTGTAGGTCTGTTTCGCAGTTGTCTTGCGTCATGTGTTGACATTTGTTCCTTGTAGCGGAGTAAACCTTTGTGCTTTCGTTAAATCGAGGTTCTTTCCCTAACATTAAACTGTAACTTTGGCCGGGCTGAAGAGTATCGTTCATTATACCGAGGACTTCGATTCATTACGTAGAGGTTCGTTAAATCGAGGTTCTACTGTATTAGCTATTTGAGATCCTCGATATTTTGAGTCGCGATCTTGTGGACTAGACTGGGGACCGGAGATCGGTTGGATACCGATGAATTACATCGTAAGAAACAGTTTAAGCCAGAGACTTTTGGTGCACTTCTCGACGGTTCATATCACAGCGAAAATTTGAACCTGCTCGCATGCAAGTCCAAGGCTATTTGAGATAATAAGGCCAAGATAACATGCAGTTCATATTCTCTTGGAAGGCTTGCATTGAAGGTAGTGTCCACTTTTGGTCAAATACCTTAACGGAGAGCTAATGCTCCAAGAACTATGCTCCTGAAATCATGAAATTTTTCTCTCCGCCTTCAAAAAAATGCACTTGAAATTGTGACACTTATCGCGTTTTGAGACTCCAAAAAGTGACCTAACCTTTCGAAAATCGTCTTCAAATGTTTTAAAAATGCTTAGTAACTTCGGGCCCGTACCAACGAATTTGAATTGAGGGGAACATAACTATAATGTATGAACGGAGGCCGGAATAGGAGCATCCTTCCCCTAACTTTTGAAAATTTGAACACACTCTTATGCCTTTTGGAGCATTTTGGAAAGCTTTTCAGGTAAAGCGTTTTTCTAGTCACTTTTCAAGCGATCTCCAAGCCATTTTTTCTCAATTTGCATTGTCGCATACATACGGGAACATACCTTTCCTATAAGTGAACAAGGAGATTGAAATGTGTAAACACTGGGTTTCTACAACAGTTTGCGTGCCAAATTGAGAACTCTGTTAGGTTGTAAAGACGCAAAAAAGTCTAGATACGCCACTGGTAGACGTTATCCCTCTGTGCCAGAACATCAACTCGTATACTGGACATGCCTGGAAATTTATAAGTCTCTGCTGCTTAGGTGATTTACGTTTTGTAGCCTTTTCACGTGACTTTAACCTTTTTCGTTTTTGTTTCCTCGTTTAGATATCTTGTGGAGAGCGGAGAAACAGAGTTGAATCTTCGAGATTGCTGGGACAGCACACCACTGTATGTGTAGAACGTTTGGTATTTTCATACGTGTTATATACCCCACGAGAACAAAGAGGAATAATTTCTTACAATACAGGGTGGGATGAGAAAAATTTCTACACGCTCCTGCACTTCTCTTTTGATTTCATAAGCCGTCGCCTTCAACCATAGACGAATAGATAAAAAAAATTGATGCATAACATAAGAATTCACACAGTGTCTGCTACCTGCATGCGATTCTCACATGACAGTCACGGATGTCATTTCTCTCATTGGTTTTTTTTGTATTTTTTTGTTTTGTTTTATTATTTCCTAGGTACTACGCTTGTCTCTGTGGACATCATGAGTTGGTGGAGTACCTCTTGCAAAACGGTCGGTTTTGTCAATTCCGGTTTGAAACTGGTTTAACTCCTGTTTGTCATTATTATTATCATTATTATTATTATTATTATTATTATTGATAAATGAACGTTTTATCGCTTCTCTCACGGTGTAGAGTCAGGCTATCAATTGTATGGACTCAAATTCGTTAGACAAATTAAGTTTAAAAGTTCATTTATCTACAAAACCACGATGGACAACAACATTTTATATAACACTAATAGCCAAGTCTGAAAGTGGAACTCGCATTTTTTTCCTGCACGTCTCAAGGGCACAACACCTTGCCCCGGCCAGGAATAGAACCCGAGTCGTCCGACTCGGAGCCCAGTGGGCTACTGGACTACTGAACAAAGCCGTGGCGTTGGCGTGCCCGCGGTGCAGTTGACCACGCATGTTAAAAGTAGCACCTGATGTGGTCGTACGGTCGTATGGTCGTACATCCAAATTTTTTCGGCTTGATGGGTTACTACTATTTTGTATAATTATGGGGCTACGCTCTGCGAGCTCCGCTGTAATTCCTATTATTATAGTTTTTATTTTTTTTATAAATTTTGCCTTGGTCAGTTTGGAAAAGAACGTTTGTGGAGAAGATTCGCAACCAAGTGTATTTAGGAAAATTACTTCTTGCGAAACTTTAAGATTCTCGCGAGACTACAGCAAGACCTGCTGCCCGGATAACCTGAAAACGGCAATCAATCACCTTTGGATTTGACGTTCTGAAAATCTTTTATTTTAATCCAAAATGCGCAAAAACTGTTTCCTTTCGTTTTTCCAGGTCTATTTTTTCTTTCGAAAGAAATTGTTTCGGCTGTTATTTTTGATTATTATATTTTGAATTGCATGTGAATAACTTCATTTCTTCGTCTGCCATTAGGGGCCCGTTGTGCTCCGAACACATTCGACGGAGAGCGTTGTTTGTATGCGGCGTTGACGGACAAGATCAGAAGCCTCCTCAAAAGCTACAAGGCTATTACATCTGAATGTATGAGAAGAGATTCCTACAGGGAATTTCTGAGAAGGTAATAATTCGAATGGCGAATTTTAGGCGAAATTTTCAGTAGAGTTTACTCACGCATCAGAAAGTGTTCATAATTTTTCCTCTCTGTTTTCCTTTAAAAAAGAAAATGGATGGAGTGTTCGAAGTAAACCTGGACTTCTTTGGTTTTACTTTGGTGTGTCTCTGATTGGCTCAGAGAACTCGCACTTCGATCAATCAGATGCAGCTAAAACCAATCACGACTTATTCCCTCGCATTTTACTGGGCTCAAGGGGTTTGTTTCTATATAGTCAAATTTTCTGTGTTTCCGTAGAACATTTGTACCGATTGGCCGCCATGATCAGCTAAACTTCATTCGTGAAACTGAATGGAAAAGCGCCCAAAAACCAAAGCAAGTCGCCATATCGGCGCACCTTTTTTGCGCCAGGAATTTGACGCTTATGAATTTTCTAAACTTCCATTGTGTTGTTACCTCGCTTGTCTTTGACTGATTCGATTTTTGGTTTGCGATTGTTCCATAGAGCATTTGTTAGTTGTAAGTCGAAAAACCAAAACCAATCATCCCAACGACTAATCAAAACAAAGGTATAAACTATCGGTAGCCAATGAGAACTAAAAGTGAAAACAACCGAACTCCTTGAAACGCGGGAAAACGCGAACGACTAAGTCGCGTTTGTTTCTTAGTTTTCAATCTGATCGGTTGAGAAGGTGACGCCGGTTTTCTGGACCAATCACAGAGCGAGGTTAAGTAAAACCAAAGCAATTATATATTTCTTTCGGTACTCACTTGAAAACTGTTCTTACTCAACTAATCCTGTTTTTCAGATGTCTAGAGGACTCGCCGTACGCAGATGTATGCTTCATAGTCCATGGTGTTCCTCTACCTGCTCATCGTTTGATTTTGTCTGCACGCTCCTCGTATTTCGCCAAGATGTTTATGAGTAAATGGCGTGATCGTCCTATCATCGAATTGAAGAACAAACTGGTAAGATCGAGTCGTATTTGAGAGTAAAATTGATGGTCTTAAATGTGTATACGGAGAGCTTATTTATAGGTAGCCTGTGTATAAGCTCTCTTTATCAGTAGCGTTGTGGGACGGGTGTTTCTCCACCTACGGGAGGAGACGAGACTAGTCTGGGAGAGGGAATCTGGCACTAATTATCATTGCCAGACCCCTTGCAGACCTCTCGCAGGCTCGTGTTGATCAAGACCTCATACTTTACCGCGAGCGAAGAAATGTTTTGTGCCGAAGCGTTAATAAGGAGGGCTTGCTTGCTAGTCCTCTCTTTATACTCTTATGGCGACAACTAATCCTTCCTCTATTCCCCCTGAAAACCATGTGGTAATCTTCCCAAAATCCTTCCCCCCCCTTTAAAAAAGAAAAAAAAAAAGGCAGGTAATGGTTTCTAAACATCGGCGCTGAACGTCATGAAAGCTCTTTTGACGCTTCTATTCTCCAGATCTAAATAGCTTGCGGAACGCGTTTTTCAGTTCAACGGAGGCAAGCGCGAGGCGGCGCGAATTGCGAGTCACGCCTAGCACTTGTCGTGCTTGTCCGAGCGCTTGTCCGAGCGATTGTCCCAGCGCTTGTCCGAGCGCTCGTCCGAGCGCTCCTCCGAGCGCTCCTCCTAGCGCTTGTCCGAGCGCTCGTCCGAGCGCTCCTCCGAGCGCTCCTCCGAGCGCTCGTCCGAGCGCTTGTCCGAGCGCTCGTCCGAGCGCTTGTCCGAGCGCTTGTCCGAGCGCTTGTCCGAGCGCTTGTCCGAGCGCTCTTCCGAGCGCTTGTCCGCGTGCTTGTCCGAGCGCTTGTCCGAGCGCTTGTCCGAGTGCTTGTCCGAGCGCTTGTCCGAGCGCTTGTCCGAGCGCTTGTCCGAGCGCTTGTCCGAGCGCTCTTCCGAGCGCTTGTCCGAGCGCTTGTCCGCGTGCTTGTCCGAGCGCTTGTCCGAGCGCTTGTCCGAGCGCTTATCCGCTTGTTGAAAGACATCTTTCCTAAATGATGACTATCCTTTTCTTATGGTGAATATTGTGTCTTTTCAGGTCAAACTGTGGGCTATGCAGGCCATTCTGCAATACTTGTACACCGACCGAGTATACATCGAAAAAGATAAAATTGACGACTGCATCCGACTAGCGAAACAATGTAAACTGGAGGATCTCAGGACACAGCTGGAAATCAGACTAAACAGCATTGAATTATTTGGTTAGGAAAAATCTCGAAGAATAGTTTCCTTTTTTGTAACATTTGCGTGATTTTGATCCTTTCACCCGCTTGTTGGAGTATTTTTGTAGAGAAGGGAAAAGTCCCCAATGACTCTTTCTTGGATATCGCCTTTCGATCCCTTTTCCGGGTACAGCCGCTGACTACATCTTCGGCAGCCGCATGAGGAAAAGTTATTGGTACCCATGCCTCTATCTTCATTATTTTCCTCGCTCTTCGTGTCAACCCTTCATGCCCTCCACTTCATACCCTAAACCATCCTGTTCTCCTTCCCCCCCCCCCCCCGCCACTATTCATGCTAAACCGTGCCCTCCCTACTCAAAGTTTGGACCCCTATCAGCAATCCCTGAATTTGCCCCCATATCATATTGGCCCATGTTTGTCAATCAGTCTGAAACTTAGCACCGCTCCAACGGAAATGACGACTGGTTGTAATACTGTGGTGTTATTTTCTGTAGGAGTGTCCAAAACTAATACTCGAATAATAACAGTAGTGAGCATCGAACCGGAATCCAGATCTACAAGCTTGCAAGATGCATTCGCCCGTCTAGCGGAGTCTGCTTTACCCCCGGCGCTCGTGTCTCAGGTGAGATTTAATCGCTGTCTGCCTATCTTTCTGCCTGTCCGCCCGTCTGTCTATCTGTGTCTTTCACTCTGTCTGTCGGTTTGTCTCTTTCGCTCTGCCTGTTTTATCTGTCTCTCTGTCTTTGTCGTTCTGTCTGTCTACCTATCTCTCTGCCTGTCTGTGTCAGTCCATCTGTCTGTCTATCTCCTCTCTGTCTGTCTGTCTTCCTTTCTGCTTTTCTTTCTGCCCATTTGTCTAAGTCTGGTTCCACTTCTTTGTTAGTGTTAATAATTGTTCAGCCATCTTTGCCAGAGTAGGAAAAACAACAAAACAAAACGCGAAGTAGATACGACACTTCCCAACGAGAAATAAGTTATCCAAACTTGTGAGGCCTGTACTTCATTTCCTTACTGTCTAGCCACGTTTTATATTATACTCGTCTCTAATGCGTCTCTGTTAATCATACCCGATAAAATTCTGGGAAAGCTTATATCGTATTCTTGGACGGACGCAAAAATGTAGAGTCAAGACGAAGAAAACTTGGACTTTCCCCGGCTTGACGTTACAGATAATTTGTATTTCCTTTTCAGCAATTCCCAAAGCAGTTTCCATTTGAGATATCCTCCGATGTTTTCGATGGTTTGTATCCATATTTTTGTTTACGGTAACTTTGAAAATGTTCTCTGTACACCATTTTAGAATTGTCTGAAATCACTTAAATAAGGGGGAATGCCTCGAGTGCCTCATGGGTGGCTGTCTACGGGGGGTTGTTCGAGCCCCTTAAAGCAGTTCCTGCATAAGCCCTAGAGCGAGAAACATTGGTATTCATATTCTCCCTAATCCTCTCTATTCATTACTCATGGTTCTGACAAGGAGAATTTGTTGGAAAATCAGGAGCTTCTTAAATTGGTGATGATTTCTTTAATTCTCATAACCTTTACATTTGACTTAAGTAAGATACTGTGGGGAGAAAATAGAGGCCAGTCACTCTTTGGGCTTGAAGGGTTAAAGAGCTAATGCGGCTACAGAGGTGAACGACCTAAAGATGTAGAAACATTTAGAAAGTGGTATCTTCCCTCAGGGGAGTACAGTAGGTAACATTGATTTGACGTGACCTTACCACGTCGTTTTAGTTTCAGTCGTTTGCGACGAACCGCCTGTGTACTCTGATGTGTGTTTCATCGTTGAGAATCACAGATTCTATTGTCATAAGGTAAGATGCCTGAATTGTAGCAACGTCCATGACTTCCTTGCTAAATTTATCAGGAACTTCATTTCTTTGCCGTGATATAATTGCGAAGGAAAAAGTGGAAAAGTCTCGCTTAGGGAAAAAGCCGCTTTAACATGTTCACGTGACCCGGCCGGGTTCCGAAACCGGACCTTTCGACCCAGAGTCCAGCCAAGGTGGTTGGGGGTAGGGGAGGGGTACTCCCTTTCCCATTTGTCATTAGCACGTACATGATTTTTCAAACGGGGTTTCCTAAGATTTTTGTAAAAAAAAAAGAAATCGGGAAGGGAGGTTCATAACCCGTCGGGAACCCCTTACTCGTAGACATGCCCTTATTGTTCGAGGTGAATCTTAGCTCCTTATTTAAATCTCCTACATATCTTAACAGTTCATTATTATGGTTAGAAAGCTCATTGACCCTCAAATACTCACATTAACTCCTATAGCTTTTTTTTAACTGAAGGTGTTTTTCTGCGGAAGGAGCGACTATTTTCGAGCGTTGTTAGACGGTCACTTTTCGGAATCCACCTCGCCTGGCAAACAATTATTTAGTGCGTCTATTCCTGAAGTTTACCTCAATGATGTAACACCAGACGTGTTTGCCGCTGTTGTAGCTTTCATTTATCAAGATGAAGCTTTGGTGAGTGTTGTTTAAACAGATTTAGACTTTGATCAGTCCCTCCTTTTTGGCGATGTCCGTCGCGCAAGTAAAAACCAATCGGTGACGTTAGCGCGCCGCGCGGAACCCTGTGAGCTGAGGTCAAGCGCCTTATTCCCAGAGGTCCGTTTGGCGCGTTAACATCAAGAGAAGGTGTGTAGAGTAATACATATGAGAAATTTACGACGTTTGTATGAACTGCGAACTCGCTCATTGGTTTGTAGACTTAGGTAAGCCTCGTTCTACATTGGCCAAACTGTAAAACTGTCGCTGAAAGAAAAATTTATATGAAGGCGTCAGTTATTCAAACAGCAGTAAACGTTGATAGCAATACTTATTGCTTTAATTCTTGTTTTTATCCAGGTAACTGAAGAAAATGTTTACAGTGTACTTTGCTTTGCTGATATCTATCTACTGAGTGGCTTGAAGCGCCTCTGTGCGCGTGTAATTAGCGCGTTTCTCGACACAGAAAACGTTTTGACGGTTTTTAGGACGGCGCGTCTCTTCAACCTACCCAGACTTGAAGTAGACTGCTGTGAATACATGAGTAAACATCTAGAAATGGTAAGTAGTGATTACTGGTAATAATTTCTTTGTCCTTTACGCTAAAATCGTTCGGTAGTTGTCATGCGAAAGATAAACCACCGATTAAAGAAGTCTGGGGAGAAGACATAAAACACGCTCCTCAGCCTCGTATCGAGAGTAGTTCTGTCCTCCAATAATTATTGCGGAGCAGCCAAAGAAGCGGAGCAGTCGAAGAAGAATCAAGTGCTCTGGACTCCGTATGAAGAAGAGTGAGTCTGAGTTCTGGTCGTGGGTCGTGGGTCGTGGGTCGTGGGTCGTGGGTCGTGGGTCGTGGGTCGTGGGTCGTGGGTCGTGGGTCGTGGGTCGTGGGTCGTGGGTCGTGGGTCGTGGTTATTGTATTGTGTTCTTGAGCAAGACGCTTTATCGTCACTTTCTCTCCTCAGTATCTCTCTCCATCCATCCAGGCGTAAAACTGGGTACCAAAGAATATTCAGGGAAGCCTGACGAAATGTGGAGGGGGAGGGGAGGGAGTGAGGGGACGTTGTGGTAACCCTTGGTGAAGGGAATTAGCGTCTCCTCTCCGAAGAGGGGTATTCTATGATGCCTATATACTAATGATGTTAGCTAATGTTCAGTTCATATATAAGGTAAGTAAAATCGTTTTTGTTCTGTTTGAACTTGCAGTTTCTTGATAACAAGGAATTTCATGCGCTGATTCTGGAGGATGCATCTTCTGTTCGAGATCGCCAACAGACGGACTCCATCCCTGTTGTGGACGATATTCGCTTTCATCTGTACAAAGGCGTTCTACCAAGCATCACGTCAGATGAAGAAGAAAGTGGACAATTTGACAGTGAAACAAAACTGAAAATGCTCAGTGATCTATTGATTGATCTCGGTATCGAATGCTAGACATCAATCCATTGACAAAGCCGCAATTTCCCTTTAAGTGTCTGCAGTTTTTCTTAAGATGTATTAGACATATGTCTAATATCATTCGCAAGTCGCAAAAAGGATTGGATCAATTTCAGTAGCTTTGCAACTGGGCACGTACTCTTCGCCTAATCCAACATTAACCATGACCAGGAGCCCATTACCCGGAGCTTCCATCTTCCATACTTACCCTCTGAGTCAACCTTTTCCCGTATCTTTTTATTTTTAGAAGCACCTCCCATGGGGTTTTTCGCGGGTGTTTACATAGTAGCCAATCATAAGAGAGCCGTGGTCCTCTATTGTTTACGTTACATGCAGAGAAGAAATAGAGGTCAGCCTTCGCCTTTGGCCGCCATTTTTGTAGGGTGTTATGCGAACGTCAGCGTGTTTTCGCGGGAAATTAAAGAACCCCTCCCCAATATCTCAGTTCTAAAAATAGAAAGATACGGGACAGGGTTGATTCAAGGTTACAATTGGTATGGAAGCTCCGGGTAATGGGCTCCTGCCCTGACTTATTATTAGTGGACTGTTGTTGGGTTAAGGGAGGCGTAGGTGCGCAGTTGCTCAGATACTGATATTGATCCGAAAGGTTTTTAAAGAACAATTTAGAGTACAATAAACCTAAGGGCGTAGTTAGGGAAGGGGGAGGGGTCCTGGAGTGCCCGTGACCCCCCTCCTTTTGTAAGTCTTTTGAGTAAAAAACATAGTGTGGAGGTCGACATGAAAATCAGGTGAGTACCCTGTTTGACACCGTGTGACCCCCTCCCCCCCCATTTGAAAAATCCTGGCTCCGCCCCTGAAACCTTCAGTTCAAACCAATAATCTTGCTTCAAATAACTCAGCCTTGGATTGCTGACTAAAAGATGTCCCGCAATAAGATTAAATACAAATGTGAGATAAAATGCCATCAGCGAATTCAAGCCTGATAAAATAGGTTGGAAAGGCTATGCATTTCCTCTAAGGTTCGAAAATGGTATCATTTGCTTATGTGCACGTGTTGATGTAGAAAACAGGTTCGTCATCGAGGGGCCAGCCAGGGGGTAACACATGATTTTCAGGGGGAACAGATAGGGGGAGGGTCAGGCGTCGCTAACAGAGTATAAAGGGGGGCGACTGTAGTAAACTGACTGCCAATCAGAGGGGAACATTAGAATACTATGGAGCCTTAGGGGAGGGGGGAGGATCAGGTAAATTAAATTGTGACACAACCAAAATCCTCCGACAAGTCCCTCTCTCTCTCCCCCCCCCCCGCCCCACCTTCGCCCCGTCCCCCAGTATACGTAATGAACCGAGTATAAGTTTGAGAAATTAATTGTGTTGAAAGCTCCAACCGAAATCTGTGGTCTTGCTTTTTTTAATTCGTGGATATGCAAGGCATAGGAACTAGTATCGAGGGGATTCAATATGCAAATCCCGAGGCCTTAGCACGGCATTAGGAGTCTGGGAAGAGTAGGTAACTTTATTAAAGTTAGCGTACTGTTGTTAAATATGGAAGATCAGACGGTACAATTACTGAATAAGTTTATGACATTCTGCACATTTCATGCACGAGTTCATTAGTGTAGTGTCACCTACAGTAGAAATGTTCGTTTTTTATAATTACATTTTACACTGTTATTTCTCTTCTCTTTTATCGGGTTTTACCCTGAAACATTCCGAGAAAAAATTTAACGTTGTTGTAAAATTTTAATAATGTAAACCAGAAAACGACCAACCGTTGAAGAACATATTCAGTAACTTGTTTCGGAGGCGTTTTGATGTTAGAGAAGATTAATGATTGTTCGTTTTGGCAATCCAATGAGCAACATATGAAATTAGAAATTCACGAAGCGCAAAGGATTACTGTTTACTGATTGCCTACCTGCGGTAAACTTCGTCAATTCAGCTTGCATTAGATCGTAAGAAACGTATGGGCATTGGTTGGTTAGCTGCACCAAGTTCTGAACAAAAATCAATTTCACAGTGCAAAGAAACCCTGTATTTGATTGCTGTGTCGTCATTAAACTGCAGCAAGCAGTGAACCACAATCAACGTTGCAGAGCGCGAGAGAACCCTGTATTCGATTAATGAATAAAGGGGGTGTTTTCTAAAGAAACTGTGTTGATTCGTCATTTGGGGGTAATATAAGATAATTCAGTTTCAATAACTGAGTTGATAACGTAAATTATCCTCTGTAAAGGGTTTCTAAAACTGATTTTTCGAGCGTTGGCCTTTAGAGCAAGTAGCGGCTAGATGCCTTCGGTCTGACAAAGGGCTAGCGCTCAAAACGTCAGCTTAGAAACTCCTTACTGTGGCCTGTATTCGATTGCGATCGTTACTTAACTGCAACAAGTTGTGAACAACAGTCTATGTTACAGAGCGAGAGAACCTTGTATTTTGACAGAGATCATGTGAGGTAGGAGATGAATTTTTTTTCGTTTGTCTCACGATAGAGTCACTTGATGTCTCTGTCATGTTCTTTTATCATTTCTCACATTGATCTCCCTGTTTCACCGATATACACTTTGCCGCATTCACATGGGATCTTTTAAACGACACCGTCTTGTTTTGATGGTTCCAGGGCGTCTTTAGGTCGTACTAAGTGAGACCTAAGTGTTGTGTCCGACTTGAAAACGGTCCGTATGCCATGATGTTGTAGGCAGCGGCGAAGAAACTCTAATACACTCTTAATGTAAGGGAGAACGGCAGTAGATTTAAATTCCTACGCGGGTTCTTTGTTGGCTGTTACCATTCTTGTTTTTACGAGTTTTCGTACAAATGAGCAAGGATAATCATTAGAAACAAGTACTGATGACAAGTGTTTCTTTTCCTCAGAGATAACTAACGGTTTCGTTGTGAAGTGTCTGGCTCGGTCGTATAGACACTTAACAATGACACGCTTCATTGACTGAAGGTGGTGTGAATCATAGGCTAGGTACTGGTCAGTGTGGGTGGGCTTTCTGTAGGTAAGAAGACCGTCTGAGTCCCTTGAAGCCGTTGTGTCGAGAAAAGGGAAGATGTTATCTTCCTCGATTTCCATGGAAAAACGAATAGTACTACTGTTAAGATGTTAATAGCTACTGAATAGCTACTGTTAAGATGTTGTAAAAAGCCGTTGACATGGTCTCGGTCTAAGACTGTGAAAGTGTTATCTACATATCGTTTCCAGATCTTAGGTTTGCGAGTTGCATTTGCTATCGCCTGTTCCTCAAATTCTTCCATACGGTTTGCTCGTACTCAGACCTCTGCGGTTTCGGAGTTCATCTCCTATCTTACACCACGATGAACAATAAACACATATTTTTGTACATCATGTGACTTGTCAGTTCACTTGATTACTACAACCTGTAATGAAATAAATTTCATTTTGCCCGCGGATGAAAATCAAGTAAGCAATGATATATCCTCTCAGAGGAGGCTGACAAAAATTGAAGATTGGACGCGATTAAAACCTATGCGCCTCAAAATCGATAACAGTATCATTAGCGTTAGCTGAGAAAGGTCGAGATCGTGCTCAGTATGGCATCGCTTCGGCCATATCGACTGTGCTTAACAATCTTCTTTGATCAAAACCTGGTTTGTCAAGTTTTGAAAAGAATTACTTGATACAGAAAAGTCAGTCACATTTCTGCCGTTACACTTCAATAAGGAAACTAATCAATGGGAAAATTTATGGAAAATTTGCCAGACAGTGAAACACAATTTCCAGCAAATTCCGCAAAAACGTTCTCTTCCATTTTCGCGACCCCATCAAAATCAAGTGAACCAGATAAATGATAAATGAACACAGAATAACTTCACATCTATTGAATACACAACAATTTCCTTTCCTTTATTAAAGCAAGCAAGCACAAGACGACAAATCTTAACTCTCACAGTAATGATAAGGCTCCAAAAACAGTTTGACATGCGTTATGAACTTCTCGCCCTCCTCGCGCCTCGACTCCCGCCATTAAATTTCAAAATGGCGGACTACGATCAGAAAAGAACACATCATTGAAAAGGGGGAGGCGCCGCTGTTCTTTTTCCATCACCTGGGTACAGCAACACAGATAATTTTCCCCACAGCAACCCCATTCACATAGATGTTCAATCATTACGAAAAGTGTTTAGTCATAATCAAAATCAGTATGCTATTCTGGAAAGGAGTAAAATCATAATTTTGAAATTTTAAGCCAGCCAGTTTAATTCATACAAACTTAAGACGTTGTTTAAAATCACAGAGTAATTGGCAATAGAGCGAATTTCGATCGAGTGTCTAAAAACCAGAACCAACGACATCACAAGAGCCAATCACGAAAACGGAAAATAGCAACGAGCCAATCACAACTCAGCGAGACATGAAACCTACCCGAAGCGCAGGAAAACGCAAGAGAAGATGGCGCGGTTGGTATCAAATCTTCATTTGATTGGTTCTGAGAATGACTCATTTTCTCGATCAATAGCGGAGCGAAGGAAAACCAAACTAATTCAATCCCAAATTCTTTTTGACACTCAATTGAAAATTGCACTGTAATGATTCAATTATATCAGCAATTCCCTACAAATAACAGAGAACTAGTCACTCCCCAAAAACCCTATGTACAAATATAATACAATATACATTCCCAAACAAAATGGGGCGAATTTCACTGTCATGCATAGCAGATGTCCTTAATCTAACCTTTCCCCATATTGTTATATAAGAATGGTATTCAGATACGGCTGCCCAGACCAACCAAATTGTTTTGACTAAAAATATCTCTTCACTTAAAAAGAAAAAAAACCTCTCAATGCAATAGTGATTCAGATTTAAGTTTTAGGTTAAATTTTCAAAACACAGATTTTTGGTAAAAACGGATGAATCATAACCGGTAATTTGAAGTAAAATAGGTGATACATTATTTTTTTCAGAAAAAAAAAACAATTTCGCACGTATACAGAATTAACAATTACGAGAGCTGAGTTGATTTCTTCCCAAAAAAATTTATAATTTATAACAATTATTATGCAAATTATCAGGTTTACGGAATATGTTAAGTACTGTGAACATAATTGTTTTCAGAATAAATAAATAAAGGACTTGCACTGAATTTAGAGATTTAAGATCTCACAGTATTTAAGATTTTTTATATCAAGGCAGCCATTTCTGGGTCTCGTAATTATAAATTAGGGCAAAAATTTACACTGTTACAGACTGTTTAATATTTATACAATGCTAGCATTATTAATTTTGGTCAAGGTTTGGTATCTCTGCTGACTGAAAATTCAATAAGAGATTGAAAATTTCTACACGTTTCACAAGAAAAAAGTTCAAGAAATAATATCACAGCAATATTCCAAGATAAGGAGGAAAACTTTGTTTTTTGCTCTAAAAAAATGAAAGAAATTATCTAAAAAGGAAAGAAATTTCTTCCACTAGAAGATACCAAAGCTTGAACCAAATGATCATTACTACAATTTATGTATATCTGTCAGCACCTAGAATACAAAACAAATTATCATATTTTCTTATGTCAGAGCTCCATGTCCTGAGCTTCATCCTCTGAAAAGTCACTTATGGAGCTTTCACTTGATGATGACATTTCCTCTTGGTCCTTAAGGGCTTCTTCTGTGGCATACTTTTTGATATATTCTAAAAAAGGTGTATAGCATGAGTTTAAAATCTTGAACAAACAACAGGTGCCACACTGCTTGGCAGTCTGTGCGGTGACAGATCACAGAATTTGTCAGAATGTGCTGAGAACAACAGTGACACAGTCTGCTGCACCTCATCAGCGACTTATTTGTTCTTATCACAGTTTGATGTCATCTGTGATCTATTACTGAACAAACACATGGCAACATGGAATTTCTTTGTTAAATTGATTACTCCATTGAAGTGACAATGGGAATGGCTACCTTGAATTTTTGCTTTGTATTGTTCTGGTTTGTGCAGGTAGAGTGCAGCTGCATCTCCATTCAAAGGGTCCACAGGATTAGGATAAGACAGAAGTTGAGGAAGAAATGATTCAAAGATATTTGACAAATCTGCAATAAAATCACCATTGATTTCAATACCATACCTTATATTTAACAACTTAAAGCTACAAAAAAAAAATATAGTAATACAAACAGCAGTGCTTCTGAAGGATTTCCAGCCCTGACAAAAACTGTAACTGCACATGTGTCAAATAACAGTGGTTTCTTTTACATGTCCCATATGGCCAATCAGCTGCTGACGCATAACATGCACTTCCTGCCACACTTTCAATTTGCTACTGATTAACTTAAAAGGAATTATGACAAATTTTTAATATTAGTCGCACAACATCAAAATGTTTCTTTAAACCGCACTTTTGAAATTGTAACAACTTAAAAATTCAACAGTCAACCATTTACCATAAAGAGCAGTCCAAGCTTGGTTAATTACATCTAGGCATACTGTACCAGATCTGAAGATAAATTGAGATTATTTCCAAACTAAATTTTGCAAAGATATGGCTAGAATAGGAAACATAGGCTTTGATAATATCAATGGTGTTCATATGGACAAACCTAATTTACTGGTAAGATTTTTTATTATTTACAAAAGCAAAACAAAACAAAAATAAAACCAAATACCATGAAAAGAAAATTGAAAGAACGAAAAGAAGAGATACATCTTGACAGTCAGTTCCACTTTCATATATTTGAAAGACTTAAATTGGTCCAAAATTTACTTCAACTCCTTCATCCAGAAGCAAACAAAGAGCAAAATTCTGAAGATATGACTTCACCTAATTTCAAACATCACAGAAAAATGGATATGCTCAAGTTGTCTCAACTTTAACCCTTTAAATCTCTGACCAAATTTGTAATTCTCCTTACTATCAACCCTACAATTCTTATAATGTTAGCTCAGAGAATTTAGTATTGGATCAACTAATCATCTCCAAATTAATATTTTTCTTTATTCTTATCACTTATTTGTTTGATATTGTATTAATATTGTAAGGAGAAATTCTGTCTTGGACACTCGTGGGAGCTAAAGGGTTATGGGAAAATAAAGAAGAGAAAAAACAATAAGAATATGATTACTTTTAGAGGGCAAAAAAAATTTGGGTGTCAGTAAGGGTTTGTATTTTAATATGTTGTGCCAAGAAAATGTAAAGGAACAATAAGTGATCTAAACTGCAGAGGACACTTACGCTTCATCTATGTTGGGATGAAAGATCTTGTTAATGAAACCTTCATAGAGAGAGAAACAAAATCTTCATCACATAATTTATATTTATAAAAAACACAACACAACACAACACAACACCCTTATTTTATTATTATCATTTTTTAAATAATAATAATAATAATAATCATAGTATACAAAAATCCAGGCAGAAAATAAATCTAGAGAAGGTCAGTATGTCAGAAACAAAGCACACAAAATCATGCATGGCATCATGGTTTTCAATGAGAAATACAGTAGCAGGAGTGTCAAGTGACATAATATCCTCTATGACTAAATAAAAATTGGCTCAGGCTATTGAAATTTAGTCAGAGAGTTCTGAATATTAGCCAGAGAATTCTCAAATTTCTGATACATGAACCCTGCACATGATTTACAAATGACCATAAATTCCTGCTTCTGAAAATATAAATAGACTACCCCCCTCCTAATCATCTCCACTGCCCAATTGGCCAACAGACACAGCTGCCTTTTAAGTTCTACATGCATGGAATATTTTTAATGCTTTCAAGGCACAGACTCACCTATTGAGGGTGATTTGAATGGGTATTTTTCTGGCAAATCGACTCTAACTTTCCAAACGCCCCCTTCATAATGTGCTGCCAAAGACAAAGGAAACTTTCAATAGCAGAGTAAGTTAAAAAATAGGAGAGATATTTTGAGTGATATCCCTTAGCTGACTAGTAAATACCTTGCCTTTGACCCTTTCACTCCTAAGCTCTGGATAGTAATTCTCCCTACAGTCTCATGAAGTTAGTTTGGAGAATTTGGTATGGGATCAATTAATAATCCCAAAATTAACATTTTTTTCTTCATTGTCGTCACTTGTCTGCTTGATTTTGTATTGATATTGTCAGGAGAAATTCTGTCTTGGTCACTTGTAGGTGGCAACTACACCCAAAGCACACCCAAGTGCAAATGACTGAAGAAAATTCACAGGCTTGCTCCCTTTGGTCCATTTGTGTTTTTCTGCACTCCATTCGTTTTCATGCAAATAGAGGAACTCAAAAAGGAAGCAGTCTCTTTCTTGGATTGCAAAAGTTGCAATTCATCAAAGCAACTGTTTTGTTTGATGCTCTCTGAGACAACCCCAAATAATGCCAGAAAGCTACTTTCAGTTCGACCTTAATGCGGTGTTTTGTAAATTAAATGCATCCAGGATAATCATATCAGGTTTAGGATTATCATATCACCCTTTACACCCTAACGTCATCATGCATATTCTCCTTACTGTTCTTTATACATTTCCTAAGGTGCTGACAAGGAGATTTTGTTAACTGATCAGAGCTTCTTTTGTTGGTAATCATTTCCTTCAATCTCATGACTGTAATGTGTGATTCAGGGGTGATATTGTAAGGAGAAATTAGATGCAAGTTACTCTTGGGGTCTAAAGGGTTAAGGACCTGTATAATGGCTTGATAATTAAAATTTTACAGAAGCCTACATATTTATTTTGAAACAATAAATATGAATTGTCACAACTCAAAACAAAGGCCGTTTTTTCTCTGTCAGAGACACTATTTTTCCTTTGCCAAATTTTAACCCATCCGGTAATATCAATTGTTTTTAAGAGTAATAAAAATAAGGTAATTGTAAACAGGTCCTTGAGATGGATATTCATATCATGGTTAAAACCTGCAGGCATTCAAAAGAAAACATATTGCCCACAAAGATACCATAAAGCAACTCTGAGGTCCAACAGACTCTTTTACAGGGACACCACTGTCAACAGTCAACTGTTGTTTAAATCTGAGATCATCAGTTTTCTGTTTTAATTGGTAACCAGCTCATCAACACACTAACCTATCAAGTATCTCGAATAATAAGCAGGACAGAGATCTCTCAAAATTAACTCTGTAAAAGACGATTTCTGCATAATGAGATGAAATTCTAAACGTGTATTTACAATATGTGAAAACGAAGACAGCCTTAGGATATTCAGTTTCTTTTTTCCGCACAGAGCATCAGCTGTTAATGTTTACAACAGCGAACGGACATGTAAATACATTCAATAGACTCCACAAAAACACGGCATTTTAACATTTTTTCCTAACAACAACAAACATTGCGAGCACAACTTACGTAGAAATCGCTGGACATTGTCTTTGATCCAATATCCATCTTTATTCATTTCCTTATCAGAAGAATTTACTAAACAGACGGATCGAATTCTAGGAGTCTGTGTATTAGATGTTTTCAGCCGGTTCCGATGTCACCTTTAAAATTTCTTGTTGGTGCAAATATGTCTTCGAGTTATCGATTTATAATTTATAATGGCAGGATTAACATAGCTCGACAAGGCAATTAAACTTTCCCTGCATTTACACGCCAGTATTTGAACGGAATATCACTGATACAAGAGTTATCTCATCAAAATTTCACTGACATAAATTTCTCACTGCACCAAAACCGATCACGAATGAAAACAAGTGTAGTGAACACGAGACTTCGAGACCGAAAACATATGAATTTTAAGCTTGAACTTACATCCACTTGGACCAAAGAACTTCACAATGAACTCGTTCAATCCACCAAGTATTGTCACTTCGTGCTTGCTTTCGATCCTGATAAAATCTTCGTCAAGGAATATCATCATGAAAGCAGTGCTCATACCATAAATACAAAACGATCACCAAGCGAGCGCCATTTTGGCTCGCAACTTGCCTGCCGAAAACAAAACGAATTGGCTCAAAATCACGCGCAAATTTTGACAAGGATACAGTTTGATGACATCAGTGTCTATTCGTCTCTTCCCAGGCGATGGAGACGACATAATGTCCGTCCAACAAGCTCAAATCTCTCCTTCTGTCTCCCTTCTCCCCAAGCAACAATGGACGATAATACTCTCTGGTTGGTTTGTTGACGTAACATTATTATTTTGATCACGTGAATAGCTACGCTCCGCCCCCATTTATCTCGTGAGCGGAAATGAGACCACGTACCGGAAAGAGGAACACTGAGAATTAAATGAATAAACGAAAATGGAAAAGTCTTGTTTTCAACATCATGGTCTTGAAAATAGACTGGAAAAGTTCTGAAATATGTGGTTTGCACTCGGAGAGAGACGCCTAACGGAGACACTTTACTGATACTGAAAACCTTCCTCAAAACAAGGTTGAAGAAAATATTGAAACTGTTAAACAGCTAAAAGGAACGCTCAAAGGTCGATTTCGGTTTCATTTGATCAAAGAGCATTTCTTTTTGTGTAACAAAGAGTCATTGACACAAGTTCCGGATGATAAAATATTGGCAGCTGCATGAAATTCTTTTTACTTATTTGAATTTAAAGTATCTATTCCCGCGAGTCCTGTGCTTATTAAATTGAGCAAATTATGTCTATGACTTGAAACTCACTTAGACCTGCAAATGTTTGGAATATCAACAAAGTCTGAATCGATTCTTACTAAGCTCAATTTTGTCACTGGATTTTATAAGTAAGCAGAATCCTACAGTCATTCTGATTGGTTCTTACCTGTGATATGAAGAGCACAGATGACGTCATCACAAACAACGCTTTTCTTTTTTATCTCGTAAAACAAATGGTCTCCCTGTTATCATGGCTCTGTACAGTAATACATGCACTTTATGTGCCACTTTTTTGCTCTTACCATATTTAACGTCATCTGCGATCTATTACTGAACAGACCCATGGCTACATAAAATCTTATTGTTATTATATGATAAGCTAAATTAGACACGAATTTTGATTGGTTCTTACCTATGATGTATTGGAGGATAGACGTATCGATGACGTCACCATTAATACCCTTTGGCTTTCTTTGTCTTAAGAGGAAATAGATTCCACATTGCCGTAAGTTTGTGCAGAAATTAGCCAGAGAATTCAAAATGTGGTAACTTTGAACCTAAATGAGACATTCGCCGCGGTTTCAGGCGCCACAGTTTTGTTCTGATCACATTTTGACGCCATCTGTGATCTATTACTGAAAAGGGCAATTTGGTGTTATCAACTGACTTGATAACGTAAATTGGCCACTGTAAAGAGTTGCACAGCTTTGTAACTCTTTATCGGCGATGGCCAATTTACGTTATTAATTCAGTTGATAATACCAATAACCCTGTTATAATCTCCCACCGACGCAGCACCACAGTTTCTTTAGAAACGTATCCCCGTATCTGTTATTGAACAGACGCATGGAAAAATGGATTCTGTTTGCGTTATAGTAGTTGTTGTAAATATAGGCTTTTAGAAAAGACTCACTAGGGACTGTTTTGGAAGCCATATCGAGAGAGAGTTACTGCGGAAGATCGCTTATTTCAAGGAATATTGGAGACAGCAGTGAGATTGTGTCATCAGTGGTGAACTGGGATATAGACTCTGGTTAGCTTAATTAAGTTTATTAACGATAAGTGTTATGTTGCTTTAGGAGTCGCTCCTAGTTAAGAACATTACTCGCTGTTTAACAAAGTAGTTGAGTTTGTAGGATTGTAGTATTTTTCTGTCGGTTAGATTATACCGTAACATCTGTTGAGAAGAGATATATCTACAGTTCCGTATGAAAATAAGGCGATTAAACGGTCGAGATAGATCACTCTTTTCTTTGGCTGCGTCTTGTTTCTAGTATGGTTTGAAATATCCTACGGAGACCTCTAGACTACGAGGAGTCCCTCCTTTTCGGTGAGGTCGGTCGTGCGTGTCCAAAAAGATTAGCCGTAAAAAGTTAAAGTTCGCACGCCGCGCAGAACTCCGAGAGTAAGGTCCGTTTTACTTTGTTCTTCCTCAGCATCCAAGCTCTTTCTTGGTATATCATCGCTGCTTCAATATTTTCCACCTATCCGCACTAATAGGCCGGCTTTTCGATTGAGAGTCGTAATGGCAAAACCAAAGTAATCACAACAGCCAGCCGGTAGAAAGGAAAACGTCACATAGAGCCCATAAAAACTCAAAGTGAGATCAAGCAAACTACCAAAAGCGCGGGAAAACAAGAGTGATCAAAACACGATTGTTTTTGGTTTGGAATCTGAGTTGTGAAGGTGGGGCAAGTTTTCTGGACCAATCACAGAGCGAAGTTGAGCACAGTTCTATCAGTCTTGGATTCCTTTCGACGCTCAATTAAAAATCCTTCTCTTACACAATATATATCTTATAAAACATTAATTGATAACATGGTCCCCTCCTCCACCCCAGAGCGTACGGAAAGCACTGTCTTTTGTATACATACTCCTTATCCTAATAGGCAATAGGCAGAGATCAGCCAGTCAGAAATTTATTAGGAATAAATTAATTATTTGTTTATTTACAGAACCTTTTACAATAATTTCAGCATCAATAGATAGAAGAGAAACGACATAATTAATCTTCAAATGTCAGTCAAGAAAGGTTCAAAAAGTTTTTCTTAGTTAACTTTTGCTACATGCTGTTTTTTTTTTTAAATTCTCACTGTCCGTATGTCACGAATGAAACAAAACTACTTCATGAGCGTAGGGCAACAAATCTCAGTCCTAAGGTAAAAGTCAAGTTTCGAAATACTTTCTGGCATAACCGCCATTACAAAGCAGTGCAGTACTGAGGCCCAGTTGTTCAGAGGCCGCATAACGCCTCCAACGGAAAAATCGCTATCCACCGAATAAATATCAACAAAACATACTGCGCTATCCACCGAATAGATATTTAACCAATGGATAGCGTAATCCGCCCTTTGACATCCGGGCCTGGTTCGTTTCCTAACTGTTCGTATGTATAACTTCAAGGCTGCCTGTGTTATGGTTTATCTCTTCACCCATGAGTTCTGTCGTTTGAGTTTTCGTTCGTCCTCCCTCCGTTTGTACATCTATTCGCTGAGGGTCTTTCCTTCCGCCCATGCGCCCGCTCGACGATTCATCTGTCTGTCTTTCCGTCAGCCAGGAAAGAAAGTGGTCGAAACTTACTTATAATCAGTTACTTAAAATTGTCCGAATTAGTGAAATTTCAATCGAGTGTCGAAAGAAATCTGGAGTTACATTGGTTTTTACTTGATTCACTCCACGATTGGTTCAAAAAACTCGCGCCATTCTCTCAACCAATCAGAGGCAAGAATATCACCAATCTCCACTTGGTCGCCCGCATTTTCCCGCTCTTCAGGCGGTTTGCCTCTTTCGACTTTAAGTTCTCTTTGACTCTTCTGAATATTTTCGATTCTGATTCCGTTGCAATTACTTTGGTTTTGGTTTTACGATACTCATTTAAAACGCGCTCTAAGAGCGCATAAAAGTTTATCAATAACCTTAAAATATTTAGCATTTGTAAATAACTTGCATGAAGATGTTTACAAAAGATCTTGAGGTCGTAACGGCATCCTCTTATCTTAAAATGCTCTACAATAAAACAGGAGCCCATTATCGGAGCTTCCACCTTCCATACTTACCCTCTGAGTCAACCCTGTCCCGTATTTTTTTAGAAGCACCTCCCACGGGGTTTTTCGCGGGTGTTTACATAATAACCAATCATAAGAGAGCTGTGGTCCTCTATTGTTTATGTCACATGCAGGCCGCACGAAAGTATTTCAATAATGGCGAAAAGCGCGGAAAATTTACCATTTTTTTAAGGGTGCTGTGCGAATGTCAGCGAGTTTTCACGGGAAATTAAAGAACCCCCCACGTATCTCAGTTCTAAAAATAAAAAGATACGAGACAGGGTTGACTCAAGGGTACAATTGGTATGGAGGCTCCAGGTAATGGGCTCTCGAATAAAACTATAAAAACGACCATCAAATTATGTTCTTTTCCACCTCATTTGGTCCTCTAAAAATCCAAATCCATCCTGTAACGCACACAGCGGCTGCATCCTCAAGGTCTGTCACGTTGACTACCTCGAAATATTTCTCAATAACACTTTCTTCCTCGCAATTGCGTGACCACTTCATTATCACTTGGTCACGCCATCCATGTAACACAACAGTGTTTACATACATTTTAAGTTGTCTCAAATCACAGCCTTAAAATTCAAACAATCCTTTAAATATGCTGTAAGACAAAGGATTAAATGTCACTATTTTCAATTGACTGTGCGGTATTGTAAAGAGCATCAGCAGCTGCTCAAACATGGTTTCATTACAACATGGGTTGAGCTTATTCATGAACTACGTGACATTCGGGAATCTCCGAATCATGGACTAATATTTTTTCAACTCCCCTTCACGGCTGTACTTCTTGGCCTCAAGTTTGTTTCGCTGGGGAATAGCACTCGCCGAGTAACTTTCTCACTGTTTTCCACGCATCTTGTGGATGAGTCTACATTGGAAACAAAAAAATAAAAAGAAAAAGAAATTATTTTTTGGAAAACCTACAAATCAATAGCGAGTTGCGCTCAAAAAGCTCAGCTGTTACTACAGCCAATCATAGACGGGTTGATTCTATGTCAGCCAATCAAAAGCGACAAGGATTGTACGCATACAAGTTTTCCCGCCCTCGGCGACCATTGGTCGCCTAACAGCTCAACCAATCATAGCGCGGTTCCCTTTTCATCGGCCAATCAGAAACTACTAAGAACGCGCAAGGGTGCATATATACTTGTCCACTTCACTTTCTCCCCATCATGAAATGAAAGCATTCTCTCCTTGCTAATGAGCAAACAGATCATTGATAGCTATTCAAGAGAATTTGGTTTTACGTTATAAGTCTCCTGCTCGATAATATTCTTTATTCTTACTAATGTTTGCTCGAGATCACGAAGCGAATTAATGCACAGATCGATCCGGCCAGTGAAAGGTTTCACAGCGTTCCTTTATCAGACACTTTCATCTGCCCTACTCAAGTTGCATCCATATTTCTGCACCTCGAGGCTACTCTAACCTCACTCCCCTCCCTGATCCCCTTCTCTCGCTCCACAGGGGAGTGAACACGGGAGAGTTATTCAAAGGGTAACTACTGAATCGTCATGGTACCTCATGAATGAAGTGTGTTGCCGATGGACTCAATGAAGGAAGAAGTGTTCCTAGGAGTACCTTCCACCCCGGTGGTGTGGTGTTACCGTCACTACCACGCATAGTCACTACCCACGGACACCACGTGCGGTGCTCTGATAACACGTGAAAAGTGTTCCTTTCGATCTCCTAGGAGTAAAAGAAGTTAGACATCGCATTTAGAAGATAAACTGTTAGCGTGAGTTGCTAGGCCTGCAACGACGAAAAGACTTCTATTGAATTCTACAACCCCACCCCTCCCCTCTCCTTCTTTTTGACCGTCATTCACATATTTCTCTCCCCAGCCTTCTGCTGCTGTAAAAACCAAAGATGGCAGCCACAACTTCCACCCACAAAACATTGAGCACTCGCTTAACAAAATCACGCCTGCTCTGCAAGGCTATGTCCCTCAATTGGACCCTGTTTTACCAGCACTTAGGGTGTCATAATATAGAAGTTGAAGCCTTTTGAAAGGTATCACTTCATACTCCAAAGTGAAGAGAGGCACTATAAGATTAATCCTTTACACCGTTTACATCAACATGAATTTTCTCCGTACTCTTCGCCATACATTTCCTTAGGTGCAGACAAAGAGAATTTGTCTAACAATCAGGAGCTTTTTTTCTGATTGGTGATCGTTTTCCATATTTTCGTATCCTCGATGTGTGATTCTGGGGTGATATTGTAAGGAAAAATTAAATCAACGCGAGCCACTCTTAGGGGTCTGAGGATAAGTGTCCTTCCCAGGACCTTAACACAACAACCCAGCCAGGAATCAAACCAGGACCTTTCGCTAATTATCAACGCCGCGCGCTTGTCATCGACTCGCTCACCTGCAGCCTCCTCTTCTTCGCTCTTGGCCGGCCGTCGTTCTCCTCAGGAACACCCTCCCGGCCGTACCCCAGAAACTCCAGCTCAGATTCCACATCTTGTAGTCTCTCTGTTAAACTTTCATTTTCGACCTCCACACAGAGGGATTCAGTTGCTTCTTCCCCAGGCAGGTTGGATAATGACCGATGCAGTGGAGACTTGAGCCCCATTGGCTCTGATGTCGATTTAACAGTCAATGTATGTGAAGTCTCTGTTAATTCACAAACTGTCTCCGTTGTGGAATCTTCTGTTGAGGATTTGTCTCCTTTTTCAAAACTATCACCCTCTTCCATGGGTTCTGTGGGATCACCTTTATCCCCCTCCGTGCTACGCTCTCCATTACCCGCCAAGCTTGTTCCCTGATTGTCGCCTTCTCCACTGATCTCTCTACTTCCAGACTCTTCCTGGTGTGTGATGTTTCTGAAACTCGTATCCTCCGCAAACATTTGTCCGGTGTCCAGATATGACGGGGCATCATGGACTTGTCCCTCATCTTGCTCTGTCGCGACGTGTGTCAAAGGGAAAAAATTCCACACACCCAGCTCTCGACGACACAATGAACAAGATATGGTATTCACATCAGGATCACTGGTGATGCTATGAAGGGTAAGTAAAATAAGTTTATGTGTGGGTTAAACGATTCCATATCATTACTGACGTTAGACTAAGAACAGTCTTTCATTATCGGCAAAGTCAAAAAGTGTCAGCGAAAAAAAAAAATTGATGTCAGTGCGCCGCGTGGAACTCTGGGAGTGATACTCATCGTGCGCCTCACTTCCATCTTTTCTTCCAGCGCACAAACATCAATTATTTTTTCGCGCTAATTTTTTTTGGTTTTTTTTACTCGCACGACGGATTTTGCCGAAAAGGAAGAACTGATCGTAGTCTATACTGACGTACACTTGTTTGTTAGATAAGATTTGCAATACTCAAACTTATCAGGTAGAAGCTATCATCTTGATCTAACACCGAATTCTCCAAACTAATTCACTTAGATCTTGGGAGTTAAGGGTTAAGAAAATTAAAACTGAGAGTTCTGCATTGTGCTACTCCGATGATGACTTCAGTTTAGAATGAGGAGATGCCACCTACTACCCTCAACTGAATGATTACACTTCAAGAGAGATGACATATTGTGTGCAATGCAGACCACCACCTAGCCAGCGACCAGGCTCTCATTATACGCGCTGCAACACGCGCGTTTCTCCGCCCGCGGGAAGATTTGAGACGAATCTCAAATTTCTCGAATCTCCGGACCCATTGCAGATCTCTCGGCCGTACGCGTTGTTCAAGCCCTCACACTTTCCCGCGGGGCGGAGACACACCCATGCCGAGGCGCTAATTTTTGGGGGCCGCTCGCGGATTAATAACTACCTGCTCCTCCAACCACAAAGTGCTATAATACAAGATGCTTTGGAGGCTTGTTCTAAGTCCAGTTCGTTCCTTGTCCAGCTGATACATCCAGGGTCAACTAAATTCTGAAGTCCTTCTATGTGACCTGGCGTTAGACAATCCTTGGGGAACAAGAAATTACAAAAAATTATTTCACAAGAGTAAAAAAATTAAAGAAGTAGTATGCCAAGAAAACATAAGACTTACCTGCTGTGAATGTAAGAATATCATATAATGGAACAACAGATTCATAAATGAAGATGAGAAAGATCTTTGTAGTAATAGACACTACTTTAGGCAGTAATAAGAATAAAGCCTAATAAAAATTCAGGCTTGTACAGGAGTTGAACACATGACCTTGGTGATACTGGTGTAGTGCTCTACCAACTGAGCTAACAAGCTAACTGGGAGCTGATCAACCTGTTGGTTTGTTAGATCAGTTGGTAGAGCATGGCGCCAGTATCGCAGAGGTCATGGGTTCAAACTTCTGTACAGGTCTTACTGTCACAGAATTTTATATAACGATGTTATTGTGTAAGGGGTTAAATTAAATGTACTCTTACTCTAAAGGTCTAGTTGTAAATTCTCCCCTCTAGCTGCTACACATTTCCTTGTAAATTTGTTACTAGAATCTGGTGTTAAGTCAAAATAACAACTTCCACTTGATAAGTCTGAGTATTTTCATTACCTTTTGCTTATGGGGAGAAGTTACATGTTTTCAATCACAAAATGCAGTGACTGACCTACTGCTCTCCAAACAATCTGAACACAATATCCAACAAACAGGGAATGAGAGTTGATAAACTTATCAGCTGAAGGGTGACACCTTTATATACCGGTGTTTCCAAATTCTCATTACTAATTTCAGAGAACATGTATGACAGCTGGAAAGGAGAATAACTAATTCCATCGAGGGAATGAAAAGGTCAAGAGACATTACCATGTCCTTGATGGCTTGCTCATCAACAAGTGGGATCTCGTCGACAAGGGTAATAATGGATTTCCATCTTGCCCTGTAGTCTTCAAGCCATTGTGAATAACTGTATAATGGCAACTTTACAAATGACTCTGTTTGACAAAGAGGAATTGAATAGAATCCTGTTAACCCTCTAAACCTTAAGAGTGACCAGCATCTAGTTTCTCCTTATAATAATACTGTTGAATCAATAATTTATCAGGGCGTGAAATTGCGCCTAATACAGGCGCCAATGCGACTAAATTTTTCACTTTGGCGACCAAATCATGAAAGTTAGTCGCCAAGTTGGCAACTAGAACGTTTCATCATAACCTTACCAAGAAATATAGTGAATTAAAAAGATTTGCAAAGAGAAACCCGCGGCAAACTTCCTCGTTAAGTTTGTTTCCAAAACGTAGCACATGCATCTCGATCGATAACTAGACGCCATCTTGGATTTAGATGAGCCTGAACGTTGTATATCATCCATCCTAGTGTCCACCTTGTAGCACGTTAAAGATCTTTTCCTTAACTTAATTTTGGAGGGTCTATCTAGAACGCTGACAGCGTAAAGAAAGATTTTGTTTGTCTTTGAAAATGGCGACCAACTTTTTTTGAATTGGCTACCACTTTGAAGAATTTAGGAGCCAAGTGGCTATCAGAAAAAAAAGTTAATTTCACGCCCTGTTTATGATCATGAGAATAAAGGAAATGATCACCAACTACAGAAGCTCTTGATTGTAAAACAAATTCTCCTTTTCAGAACCTAAAGAAATGTATAGATGATAGTATAGAGAATATACATACTGATGGTAGGGTGTAAAGTGTTAATAAAGTAAATGGTTTTAACCCATGGTAACATTAGATTGTGTGGTCTGATTTTTTAGGAGAGGGTAGTCCTGACAGGGACTGTTATGGGTAGTAGAGACTGATGTTTCCACATCCTAGACTATGACGATAACTTTTGCTCAGATTGTCAAAATGTCTGTCACCACAACCGATAACAGTCCTTCCCAGGACTACCTTCACCAGAACAATCAGACTAAATGATCATATGGAATCCTGTTAAATTGACATGTATCCTTCACAGTAAGATGCTCATTTCATTTTTCCTAACAGCAGGTCATAAGTTGCCTGAATCAAAAGCTTACCAAAAGAGGGCTGATTTTAATTTCAATCCTGAGTAGCACATGTAGTTAAATGTAAAACAGAATTCTGACACAACAAGAGATGTAATATTATTATTACAAACCAGGGCAAGGATTATCCGGCCATGGACACAGTTTAGAATGACCACTGACAAGTGCTTCTCTTAGCTGCTCACAGGTCTTGGCATCTAAAGTGAAAGATTAAATTGAGTTAACAGTGAAACAATTCCATGCCATGGAGACTGCATGCTGATACATTAAACTTTCAGCTTGAATAAGAAAGAGGGATGTATTTTGTTACAAACAATTTGAAAACTGTGGACAAAAAATTATGTAAATACAAGTCCTGATATATGAGCCTTAGATACCAAGGATATATGTGCACATGTATGTCCTATATCTTCAACCAAAAAGGTACTATCAGAACATTTGCTTTTAATCCAAGGTTGATTTTTCCAACAGACATTGTCCACTCTCTAAAAAAATCCTGTTTGCCATAGCACAACATTTACATTTTTGTAACTAAAGATGGTAAGTACTCAATTTAAAATATTTATTTTAACTCTCTATTTTTACCTCATGGATTGACATTAGCCATACTATGAAGTTTTTGGTATGGACTTAAAAAACCCTTCCTCACTCGCTCCAATCTGATCTGTTAGACAATTAATTTACATCTTAATGTGGATTACATGCATTATCCCCTGCTTCCCCTACTAGGTTTGGTTTTGTCCACAAGGTCATGCTATTGTCTCACGTTCATATATCTGGAGGTGGGACAGAGGTGGAGCCACCATCAAGACCTAAATTTATTATATTTAGTCAAATATCAATATATAAAATACTCACAAATTTCAGAATCCCATGTAGTGGATATGGTAGCATCAAGACATGCCCTGCAGCTAACACACTGTAGGATGTCAACTTCACTGTTTTCCCAGCCATATTGTGCACAGTGGAGAGGTGAAAGTGCAAGAGGTTTGGCAAACCATGTAAATGGCTGCACTTAGTTAAGAGAATAATAATTTAATGTTTGGGCGACAGCGGTTTAGGATCTTTCTATAAACAGAGACAATAGTGATCAAAAAAATGCTGGAGAGCAGAAGCTTTTGTAAGCATGTCAGTGGCTGAGGATGTGTATTCCAACCCTTTACACCCTCACATCAGAATGCATATTCTCCATACTGTTCTCTATACATTTCCAAAGATAATAAAGGGGAGAATTTTTTTAACAATCAAGAGCTTCTTCTTTTGCTGGTGATCATTTCATTTAATCTCAGGCCCTTAATGTTTGAATTCTGCCACCCAACCTGATTATTGAGTTTCAATCTTCAGCCATTGTTATGGTTTTTTAACTGCTTATTAAGTTCTTTAATCTTAACCCTAACCTTAAACTTTACCCTAAGCAATTACTTCTACAAAGAGGAAGAAAAAGAAGAAGAAGCCAGCAAGCACCAAAATAATAGAATGGGAAGGTCAAAGTAGTGAGAAAACTGATAAGAAAATTAAACCTCTAACTCTCAAGATCTGGTTCTTAATTCTCCCCTCTGGCTGCTACAAATGTATCTATAAATCAGTTATGAGAATTTGGTGTTAGATCAAAATAACAACTTCTACCTGATAAGTGTGAGTATTCTCATTACCTGTTTGCTGGACAATGAATGGATATGATGAGGAGAAGTTACATGTTAATCACTGCTAAGAGTTAAACAGTTAATAGTATGCAGTGGTGTATATCAGAAGTATATATGGTTAAAAGATACAGAGAAGGTTTCCACACGATTCCAAAATGCTTCTTTACTTCTTGGCTGACTTCTACAAACTGAGTCCAAAGAGGCATCATCTTGTTCGAGAGTTCTAGAAAAAAAAGTGGTTTACTTTGCTCAACAGCTGTATTCTTAAACAAAATAAGTTCCTCTTACAGTGAAATACAAATTGGCAGTTTTAACACAAAGAGCACACTGTTTAAAATGAATAGAAAGAGTTTGTATCCTCCTCAAACTTGCAATAAAAATAAAAACAAACATAAAAGTAAGGAACCTAACACCTTTACTCACATGATCTCATCAGTAATTCTCCTTACCATCTGCCATACAACTCTTATGAAGTTAGTATAGAGAATTTGGTATTGGATCAACTACTCATCCCCTCATTAAAAGTTTTCTTTATTGTCATAATTTTTTTTGCTTGATATTGTATTAATATTGTGAGGAGAAACTCCTTTTTTGTCACTCATGGGAGTTACAGGGTTAAGAATTGAATTTATGATACCTGCAAGGTTATCAAAGAAAATAGATTATGAAAGAGAATACAAAAGAAGACCATCGAAACGGATAATATCTGCCTGTTCTTGAGTGTCATTCACGGATGCCAACATTTCTTATCAATATTACTCGTTGTTACTCTAAGATGGAAAATGTCTACATTTGTTAAATTTTCTTTTTGTGCTCAGGTGATCACTGATTAAATCAAGATAGCTTAAAATTTTGAAACAAGAAAATTTTAATGAAAAGTCTTACAGCTGTTAATAATCGTCCATGATAGGACCAAATGTATAACCAAATGAAGTTTATATCTGTGTTCTGATGGCACACAATGCAGTTAATTTTTAAATTCCAGTAGAGTATCGTTATTTAAAAACAACTTGTCATGACTGTCTCAAACTTCAAACAGATCAAAATTATTTTACGATGATCGATAAAAGCTAGCTGTAAGCTGTGACGCACACCACATAATCATTGATCAAGTGTTCCACGGAAATATTTGGTTAGTGAAGGAAAATCTAAAATCCACACAAAAAAATAGTTAAATCAAATAGATTTGACACGTTTCGGGAACGTTAGATCGCTACAATACGGGCAAACGACCACATCAAAGACAGCGTGAACGCATTTCAAACATTACAGTTGCATGCTGCATTCTTGGAATAACTTGATATCACTAGCGTCAGAACGTCGTTTTCTGTGCAATCCGTTCATCTCAACTAACGGAATGGCTTTTATCGTTTCTCATTATGCATACCTGGCTTTTCCATTTTTGTCCGACGAGTGAAGAAAACTCGACAGCAAGGCACGAACCCTCCGAGGAGTTCCCTCAACAGCTGCCGCCATGTTGTTTTTTTTTCATTTACACTCGTCTCCAGTCTTTCTCCAAACCCAAATGAAACAGTGTTCCCATGAGATATCCCCGGGTTAAGATTAAGCCTTTAAGATGGTGGGGCAAGATCATCCATCAATTCTTGATGAAATGTCAAGGCCATGGCCGAGGTTAAAGTCAGTTGGTTGCAGGGAATTAAACGTTTATAACGAAGATGAAAGGAAGCAAATTATTATTTGTCTGTACCCTTTTTCCCAGCTGAGCCGCTTACTGATGGATGTCTAACCCGCTTAAAAAGGATAATCCTGTTTTTCTCTGCCGCATAGTACATATTTCATCTGTTTCTATTTATTCTGTGGGATGGGGGGCACTAAATCGTGAAAGGATGTATTTTCAGACTTTGGGAGTTAGAAACATTCGTGTATGTTAGTATCTTGGCTATACCTATGCACTGCTTTATATATTATAGTGCTGCGGCTGCGCTGCAGCCACAAGCGATGAAACCCGCGAGATCTAGATTCAAACATGCGAGCGTGTGAGAGGTTGGTTAGGGGTCTGACACTGGTCTCATTTTCGTGCCAGAACCCTTGGGCACTTCTCGCGCGTTTGCGTCGCCGCTGAGTCGAGCTGCTTGTGTCGGAATTACGCAGACCACGTACGAAACGCGGCACCCTTTTCTTGCAAAACAGCCTCAAGAAATCCTAACTAACAGCTGGCGCGTATACAATTTTTTGTTTTTGTTTTACTTGGGCACAAGTACAGTGGTTTTACAGACCGCTCTGTGTTGTTTTTAATCTCTTATCTCTTGTTTACATGAATGAAACAATCCCAATAATTTTATGATGACATGTTTAGAGGATCAAAGACAGGTTTTGTTCGTTCTCATCTCCTACACCACCAAGTACTTATGACATTCGGGCCACACTGAAATTTGTGGCTGAATCCTCATTAATCTAATTCATACGTATTTCAATTTTTACTTGAACAGAATAGCCCATGATAGTAAAGCGATTATTATTTCTTAATTAAAGAAGTTTTACAAAATATCACCAAACATACGTTCAACAACTATTTAGACAGTCAAAGAAGTTTTTCAAAGGCTTAAATTTACCCTGTTATCATTATTCCCTGTTATCATTATTGCGAAATGTTATCTGTGGGAAAGGATACATTTCCTAAACACCCACAAGTATTCAAACATAGGTGGCATGAGGTGTAAAAGGTTAGATAAATTTCCACCAAACACACAAGTTGAAAACTGAATTGGTCAGAGCCAATAGGAAGGGAAAACTCTCCTTAAAGCATCTTTTGCTACAAACATTTAAGTTATGAAAATGACCACCCACCGAAAGAAGCCCTTGATTTTTGACAAACTCTCCTCGTCATTGCCATATAGAATGTACGGAGAACGGTATGGAAAATAAGCACAATGAAGTTAGGTGCAAAGGCTTAATCCTTGTTGACATAATTGCGAAATGTAAACAACGACGCCTAATAACTAAACAACGACAAGTATTGAAACAGCTTGAGGGACTAGTAACTAATTATAGGGGTGAGATTTGCCAGCCAGCGCCTGCGCATAAACTAATGCAGCCCACCTACGAGTGACCAGCTGTTGTTCCCATTAGTGCTTTATTTTTTTTTTGTATAAAAAGGAAAAAAACAGGACCAGTCAGAAATGCTTGCAAATATTACTTTCACAGCAGCCCATCCTTTTCAGACACATAAATATGTTTAACCCCTTCGGATCCCTAAAGGGTAAAATATGACATTCCAAATAAAACAGATACGTTCAAAAACTATTTGGCACAAGAAACAAGAGATAACGCTATTCGAGATGAACGTTTTTCAAAGGCTAATTTACTTTGACCCGTGTTATCTTTAAAGATGGCGAAATGTTATTGATAAGAGAGGAAACATTCACTAAACACCTGTAACTATTCAAACATTTGTACTTAAAAGGTAAAGATTACCAACAATGTTTGGAAAAGTTAAGATTAAATTGGAGCCCCGCAACTCAAGCGTTCAGTTCAGGTAGAGATCGAGAGCGGTGCATCACGGCCATGGCAAGTAAGGGTTTTTTGTTGCTACTATTGGTCTCCGCTATGGTTTCAGCGAGCATGGCTGCTCCGGTAGGTATGAAATCTGTATAGTAATTCTGGCGTTGCATTTGCATACATTTTAGAGCGCTGCTGATAAAATACCTACGGTGTAGTCAGTTCCTCGCCGCATATAAGTTATTAACTGTGGAAACCAAAAGTCTAGTGGGCCAAAAAACACCAACATGCCGATCGGAGTTTCCAGGGGGCTAATGAAGCTACCCTTGAAACAACTTTATAGCGGAAAGAATCCGAAATTTGGCGCAGAATTTTAAGGTTGATCCGTAATCCACCGTATCTCTGAAATCCTAAAATCCGCTCAAATGTTTCGGGAAAAATTCCAAGCCAGCGAGTTTTTTGATGGCCAAATCTGCCAATTTACGTTTGCAATCATTTATGTTTGCTATCATGTTTGCCCTCTCTTTTGAAAAAAAATTCAAGTGCAGATTATATTTCGGAAGTATGACTTTAAGAACTAAACGCAATCATATCACTTCACAAGTATATTTCCCTTCCTTCCAGGACAAAGGTCATGTCTGTTTGGGGGCCCACCACCCATGTAATCGTCTGCGCCAACGGCCAGGCCAACCTACAAGATGCTGCAGTGGACATTGTGATTGCCTCGATCTCGGGCGGTAAACAAGTTTTGAATTGTCTTATTTATTTTTACTCAGCCGAAACCTCTAATAGAGCGCGTTTTTAGCCGAGGACACAGACGGGACGTAGCGTCCCCCACGCGTGTTTGTCTGTCTTTTTTTTTTTTTTTCACTCAGCCGAAACCGCTGATAGAGCGCGTATTTAGCTGAGGAAACAAAGGGGGGGGGGTAGGAGTGGTTAGGTAGATTCAGTTTGAGTATCACCGAGGGAGGGCGTTCCGAGTATTTTGGTTGTATCACAATAAAATTTACCTGATACCCTTATAGGGCTTCTCGGTATTCCATCGGCAGCAAATTTTCTAGCGTCCCCCTCTATAACCGAAAACCACGTGATCCTTTCAAAATCCTCCGACCACCCCTCTCCCCCTGACGACAAATAATGATTGATCCCCAAGGGTTTCTCCTTAGTTACCAAAGATTTTTGCTCTTGTTAACCCTGCTTTTCTGTGTGCTCGTCGCTACCAAATGGTTGCTTGGAAAAGGCTACTGTCTCCCTTGTGCACGATCGTTGGGGGGGGGGGGGGCTGGACTCAAGGAGAGAAATTAGACGGTAAGGTTTCATTCAAGCAGTCGTTCTCCCGCACCCGCTCGCTCATTCCTCAATCGAAAGATTGGATAGGACACCCTTATGATCAATCAACTGATCCTCGCGTGTATGATGTGGTTTAAAAACCTTAGGAAGACGTGCGCGTGCGTTCTCAGAGTAGCTGCTTCACTACCTCGTACCCAAACTCCTTCTGCTGAGTTGTGCAAGGGAGGAAGAAGGGAAGGCGACTTAAATTTTTCGTCACCAGTCGCTCACACATAATTTGTCCTCGTTCGTCCTCGTTTTCGATCCATTTCGTTCTAGCTCATTTCAAGCGTCCTAATTGGAATTATAAACATTTGTTTTGCAGTAGTTGCTTATGTAAGTAGCATGTACAACTATAAAGCTGGACACAACGACTGAAGATGAAAAAAGGACAAGAACACGGCCGTCAGCTTGAGCAAGAGTTTTCATAGCCCTCAGAATTTGATTTGTCATACTGGGACTTTAGACTGGGAAAACATCAATGTCATTTAGTTTTTAAAAAGCTGTGCATTAAAAGAAATTTAAATGAAAAGATGCGTCATTTATTAGTTCAATCCGCCCTAACTACCTAAACGTATTAAGTGATAAAGGTTTTTTCCAAGGAAGACCTAAGCTCAATACATAATAGTCGGTCGCCAAGGGTTTTCTCCGCCCTGGCTCTGATGCGCACTGGCGCACAAATCGTCAGCGGTAGTATATAAAGGGGGTAAGTAAAGTTTCTAAAGAAAGTGTGGTGTTGCATCGGTGGGAGAGTAAGGCAGGTAATTTAGTAGAAAAGGTTGCGGTTATTCATCGTGGTGAATAGCAATGAAAGCTAAGTTCTTCGTTTGTCTCACGATATAGTCACGTGTGATGTAGATCACGACGTTTCGACTGCATACTGCTAGTCTTCTTCAGGCGATGAGGTCGACTGGTCATGCGTGATCTTATAAAGTATGATGCTCTGCTGTGATTCTTTGATTTCCTGCGAAAACACGCTGACCTTCGCATAGCACCCCAAAAAAACTGACGGCCAAAGGCGAAGGCTTTCCTTCTCTGCATGTAACGTAAACAATAGAGGACCACAGCTCTCTTATGATTGGCTACTATGTAAACACCCGCGAAAAACCCCGTGGGAGATGCTTCTAAAAATAAAAAGATACGGGACAGGGTTGACTCAGAGGGTAAGTATGGAAGATGGATGCTCCGGGTAATGGGCTCCTGGTACAAGCTAGCTCTACCCACGGGGTACTTGAGTAAATTTTTGCTGAGTTTGTGCCGCTGGCCTCTCAGAACTTCTACCCTAAATAGTCTATTCCTTGATCAATGAAAGACCCTATATTAGTCTCCTTTGGTAATACGATAACAACTTTTTAACCGCGAGTCCGCATATTTTTAAATTCTTACTTACTAGAATTTTCTTACCCCCAAAATCTGGAAAATATGCGACCCCATTTTAGTAACTTCATTGAAAATACAAGGCCATCATAGTCAATCCAGAAGTGGAAATGCGACCTCATCCAGTCTTACTGAGACACGTTTCCATTAGCCTATCACTAGCAACCCCTCCCTACTCCCCCGAGGACCCGACCTTATTCAGTCCATAGGTACAAATTAAATTATTGTTCCGAGAGATTATACGCTACCGCTGGTAATTTAGTGTTAACAACTGAATTGAAAACGTAAATTGGCCACCGTAAAGGGTAAAAAAGCTGACATTTCGAGCGTTTCAGTCTTCTATTGTTTATGTCACATGCAGAGAAGGAAAGCCTTTAGTCTTTGACCGTCATTTTTTTTGGGGCCGGCTATGCGAACGTCAGCGTGTTTTGGCAGGAAATTAAAGAACCCCCCCCCCCCCCCCCCCCCCCCCCCCCCCCCCCCCCCCCCCCCCCCCACATATCTCAGTTCTAAAAATAAAAAGATACAACTGGCATGGAGGCTCCGGGTAATGGGTTCCTGCTTATACCGTTCTTCACTGAGATTATTTTTCGTTTTTCTGAAGCTAGAATTGAGGGAAAACTCGACAGAAATGGTCGGTTCAATCCGTCTTTGAATTTTTTGGCTTGTTTAGTTTTATTTTCCTGAATCTCGCCTTATCTCTCAAATAGAACTGGTATTTGAATTAGTCACTTTATTTTTAAGGGAGCTGGAGAAGGGTTTTGTACAAGATTTCTTTCTAGGGTAGTGTTGGGTAATTTAAAAAAAAAAATTCAGGCTGGGTTACTAAGGCAAACACACGTCGAAGCCCCCTTACAGAGATCAGAGACGATCATCATGGGTTAAAAATGTCTGTACTTTGAATTTGTTAATTACGATCCTCGAATAATATCGATTACGGATCTTCCAGACACTTATGAATTCACTATCTGTAACTGGCCTCTTCCAATATTGTGTTAATTTAGAGATTGAAACCAAAGAAACGTCCGTTAGGAAAAGAGTAAAGTCGAAATTTTTATCCAAAGGTGACGACGTCGGCAAACAGACTACAGGAATGGTTCCGAAAATCGCTGTCGTTTCGTACGACGAAGAGGACTTGAGCGATCGTGAAAATGGAGAGTCACATCACTTGTTGAACGAATGGACCGAAAGCAGGGAAGATGAGTCATTCGAAAATAAACATTTAGGCAAACGGAATGGTGATATTTCATCGTCATCACACGAACATTTGAATGGAGATATTTCTTACGAAAATTCCGATCAACGGATTCCGTTGTTGCAAGAAGAAGGAATAGATGAATTTAAAACTGATATAGTGGGATCTAGTGATACAAATGTAGAGGAAGGATCTTTCACCATTGGACTTCAAGTCTTTTTTCCTTTTCTGATCGCGGGATTTGGAACTGTTTCAGCTGGAATACTACTCGATGTTGTTCAGGTAAGGTATTATTCCGTTTCTTCGACAACAATGATAACGATGACTTTCTTTCACTAATTGAGTGAATTTGGTTTAACGGAATAAGGTGGCTAATTATTTTTGAAAAGGTAATAGGTAGAAACCTTCGAAGTCTGTGGTAACTAATCGGTTAAAATTACGCTATCGTTGGTTAAAATATTATTTTATCTTTTGCTGTTGATCTGTTGATATATGATAATGAGATTGAATGAAAGGAACGTGATATTTAAACCTATGGTCAAAGTTAACGGCAGCGTATCCACACAAGGGAAATCTCCTTTTTTATAGAATGCTACCTGCCTAGATAACACTTCAACCCCCAAGAGTGAGAGGCATCTAATTTCCCTCAACGTTATTGCCCCTGAATCAAACATTGTGGTCACGAGAATGAAGGAAGTGATCGCAAACTCAAGAAACACTTGATTGTTACACAGTCTCCCTTTAAGCTCCTTGAGGAATTTACAGATAACAGTATGGGGAATATACATAGTGATGTTAGGGTGTAAGGGGTTAACCATTTAACTCCCAGATCAAATTTGTAATTCTCCTTACTGTCAACTATACAATTCTTATAATGTTACTTCTGAGAATGTAGTAGTGGATCAACTAATTATCCCCAAATTTATATTTTTCTTTATTCTCATCACTTATCTGATTGATATTGTATTGTTACTGTTAGGAGAAATTCTGTCTTGGTCACACATGGGAGTTAAAGGGTTAATCAATTTTATGAATTCTCATCTTGCCTCTTCAGTTTATCAGTCAGCTTTCTGAGAACATAAGAATTTTATCAATCACAAATAAGCATTTTTTTACTGGATTAATTACAATGCAGAATTTTTTTCTTAAGCCCTCTTTTGTTACCTTTTTTCTTTCAGCATTGGCAAGTTTACAAAGACATTTCGGAAATTTTCATTTTGGTTCCTGCTCTTCTTGGATTAAAAGGAAATCTAGAAATGACATTGGCATCAAGGCTTTCAACTGCGGTAAGTAAATGAAAAGATCGCAATACAGGTTAGTGACATTGTAAGGTTGTTTATTAGTTTGGAGGAGTCTAAAGTGTGCTGGACTCTGGATCAAAAGGTCTGTGATTAAGCCTAATCTTTCTTCATTGAATTTTGTGCTTAGTTGAGACACGTAACACTTTAACTCCCAGAAGTGATTAACATGTAACTTCTCCCTATAATATCCATACATTATCCCACAAACAGGTAATGAGAATACTCAAACTTATCAGGTAGAAGTTGTTATCTTGATTTAACACCAAATTCTTATAACTAATTTGCAAGGAAATATAGTAGCTAGTGGGGAGAATTGACAATCAGATCTTGGGAGTTAAAGGATTAATAGTTCAGATTACTTTGTGAACCACAATTTATTTTTTAGGTCACATTTAATACAATGTTGTTGAGTAAATGTGTTCAAATTTTTTTATTGTCAGAATCTAAGGGATGTTTCAAACGTTCATTATTTTTTTTGTTTCCAAGGCAAATGTAGGAAACATGGATTGTGCAAAACGGCAATGGAAATTGATAGGAGGAAACCTTGCATTGATACAGGTTTGTTTATCTTTAAAACAACTCTTGGTACCTAGCCTTTTCTGTTAGCGACCAACTGGATTTTTCCATACTCTTGATTCAAATATGGCAGTTGGCCCTGATTGAGTCACGCAATAGCAAGGCAAGTAAGGCCTTGGGATGTGTTTTGAGAGCATGGCTCTGGAAAAGTTATGCGAAATTGTCCATCTACTGTGTTCTACTTCCCTATGAGTTGTACCATCAGAAGGAAGCAAAATCTTCCACAGAAGAGGAGGTTTCAGTTTTTTAGTTTCTCTGTTTGTCTCAGAGGAGAAAGTTTGGCATTGCTACTTGTAAATGCCTTCAAGAAATGCAACATGCAGCTTACTTTCTGGTTGAGTTTGTTGTCAAAACATTGCACCATCCCTGCTTGCAAAGGCTGCTCTTGCACAGCCAATCAGAACCCATGTTCACTCCAGTACTTATTTGTTAACTCTTTAGAGTGACAAGCATCTAATTTCTCCTTACAATATCACCCCTGAATCACATATTAAGGTCATGAGAATAACAGAAATGATCACCAACAAAAGAAGCCTTTGATCGGTAAACAAATTCTCCTTGTCAGCACCTTAAGAAATGTATAATGAACAGTATGGAGAATATGCATACTGATGTTGGAGTGTAAATGGTTTAAAAAGTGATGTGTTTTTATGCTTTAGGTTCAGGCCACTGTAGTAGGAGCACTGGCGTCATTTGCTGCAGTAGTCATGGGATGGATACTTGACGGAGAATTCAACATTCATCATGCCACTCTGCTCTGTGCCAGCAGTTTGGTTACAGCCACATTAGCCAGTTTGATTCTTGGCTCTGTGATGGTTGCAGTTGTTCTCAGCTCCAGAAAATTTAACATTAATCCTGATAATGTAGCAACGCCCATCGCAGCTAGTTTGGGAGATCTCATCACACTTGCACTTTTGTCTGCAATTAGTCGATTCCTACATAGTTGTATTGGTAAGTTTTGGTTAAATAGTGATGTGAATTCATTCTATCATTAAATACCCTTTAACTCCCAAGATCTGTTATTAATTCTCCCTTCTAGCTGCTACACATTTTGTTGTAAATAAATGATGAGAATTTGGTGTTGAATCAAGATAACAACTTTGACCTGATAAGCTTGATTATTCGCTTTACCTGTTTGCTGGATAATGGATGGATGTTTTAGGGAGAAGTTACATTTTAATCACCACTGGGAGTTAAAAGCTTAAAACTTGATACACTATAGGTTCTGGTAATAATTTGTAATTTCTAAATATTGACAAGAAAGCTTTCTAGAAATGCATTGATGTTTAAAAGTTTGGAAATAGCCCCTTTTATGTTCTTGACAGTGTTTTTTTTTCCAATTTAACCTCAACCAAAATTGCTTGCAACTTCAAAAAAGGGGTTATTCTTTTTAAGGTATTTTTTTTCTTTAAACAGAGTAGAGATGGAAAAAGCAAATTTCTTATTAAACAGAAAAGAAATAGTGAAAATAATTTCATAGATGGAAGAATTTTGCGTGTCTGATTTTCAGTTTGTTTTCAAGTAGACCAAATGATAAGCAATATATTGACCCTTTTCCCCTCCCAAGATGGCACAAGTAATCCTCCTAAAGTACTGTTTGCCATAAAATTCTTATGATGTTAGTATGGAGAATTTTGTTATTAAATCCACTAATATGGTAATCCTCTTAAATTTTTTCTTTATTACTTTCTCATCACTTGTCTGTGTGATATTGTATTGAAATTGTAAGGAGAAATTCTGTCTTGGTCACTCATGACTGTTTAAGGATTGAGACAAGTTTTTTTTTTAGAAGTAACTGTGATTTGGATTGAGTTGAAAGCATACTAAAGAACGGCCTTTCATTTCTTAGATTCTGATTCTGTCTGCTTAATAGTGTATTGATATTGTAAGGAGAAATTTTGTCTTGGTCACTCGTGGCGGTTTACTAGTTGAGGCAGGTTTTTTTTACAACTAACTCTGATTCAGATTGATTTTAAAGCTGACTATAGAACGACCTTTCATATCTTAGATTCTGAAGATGGCACCCATCATTGGATAGCACCTGTCATCTGTTTGGGATTCTTCCTCATTCTCCCCCTGTGGGTGTACATCACACATCACAATACCTTCACACATGACGTACTCTACACTGGGTGGACCCCTGTTCTTAGCGCAATGGTCATTAGCAGGTAATGTTATCATGGTAGTTTTTCCCATCTTGCTGGTGAAGGGGGGGTGGGAAATTGCCTGCACCAAACTTTGTCTCTCTGCGCAGAAGAGCCGATCTTCTATGGTACACTTAATTTATGGTTATGCTCTATGACATCCGAGTCGGAATGTCGTATAAGACAGAATAAGAAAATTATACAGAATTAATATTTTACTTTATCGTGTATTTATCTCCACCTTTTCTTCACCGAGCTGATTTTTTTAACGACATAAAATTTGGGTTTTCTCTTTGTGTTTGCAGCTCTGGTGGTCTCATTCTGGACTATGCAGTGGATAAGTACCATGGAATTGCAGTCTTTAGTCCAGTTATGAATGGTAGGTTTCTCGTTCAAGACGTACGGACCTTGCTGCGCCCGGTCTGTGCGTCATGACCTCATGTCAATTACTTTCTCATCTGGCCTTTCCACTCAGTTGATAAATTCATATTAATATACAATTTTCTCGGCCGATGTGATTACTTTTCTATTGGTTTAACCACTCAATCGTAAAGCACTCAATTTTTAATAGAAATGATAAGTGATAATATATTTCTAAGAATTGGGTTGAACTTATGTATTTGAATGTTTTCAGTCAACATGTTCTGGTGAGTTAAACAGTCGGATCAAGAGAAGTTCAATGCAACCCTTGTTGCGTAAAACCTTATTACTAATGTACATGAAAAAAATTACGCGCTTCTGATTGGCTGAAAACGATTGCATTCTCGTGTAACACGTGTAAAGTTGTAACACGAGTGCAAATTATAATTTCAAAATTTCGTCGGTCTTGACTTTCTGTGATGTTTTTTCATGTTCATTAGTAACAAGCAATAAATTGATTTCTCTTGCACTTTGGTGTACTAACCACCGGTCAATTTTTCAAAGACTACAAATTGCATTTGCCTTACAGGCAAGTGAAAATTTACTCCTGCTTATTAACACCAAATTGCACTCGAAATCATGTTCTTGCCTATATTTATGATATGGAATGTGTTTTGAAAAGTTTAAATGAGAGTGCACATCGTTTTTAAGGTGTTGGAGGCAATTTGGTCGCTGTTCAAGCAAGCCGGCTTTCAACTGGTCTGCACCAACTTGGCAAACCTGGTGAGGTACAAGAATCAAGTAAATTCCGTGGCTGCGTTGATACGTTTTTTGGATCAGGTATGCGTGATTCTGCATTAGCGCCTTACACCCTAACATCAGTCGGCATATTTTCCATACTGTTCTCTATACATTACCAAGGGTGCTGACAAGGAGAAGTTGTTAAACAATGAAGACTTTCTTTAGTTGGTGATCATTTCCTTTATTCTCAAGACCTTAATGTGTGATTCGGGGGTGATAATGTACTTGGAGAGACTGTACGCCAGTCACTCATAGGGAGAAAGAGGGTCCCCTATACTTATTTCATGATATGTGATTGAGCGATTAATTTTTCCTCGTGAATCGTGGTTAAAGATGATAAGATCCGTTTATGTTTGCATGAATGAATTTTTTTTTTTTTAAACATGACCTGTGATTTAAGAACTGAATTAAACGTAATTCCTGAACCATTTCGTTTTGCGTGGGGTATAGGGGACCGTCATGTATCAGTTCCCCTAGTGTCCTTGTCAGATTACATGGATGTACGAAAGCGTTTTTTTTTTCCTTTTTGTTGTCTGAGACTTAGGAATAGAGTCTTTTTATTGGCTCCTTGGAGAACTATGGATAGTCCATCAGATAAAAAATTTTCACCAATTTTTTTTCCCCATCCTAGGAGTGCACGCTCGGACCACTCGTGTGTTGCTATTCATGGTTATTCCTGGAAATCTGATATTTTTGTACACAATCCGTGTACTACAGGCGGGACATACAACTCTAACGCTAATGTTCACTTCTGGCTATCTACTGGCTGGTCTGATACAGGTATTTGTTAACTAGGAGCTCAGGATTTATCCTTCTTGTCTCGACCATAGATATCTGTATGAGTCGCCATGAGAATTGAATCGAAGCTCAAATTTTTTACCGCTAAGCAATAGCGAATCCTATGGCGAGCCAGGTTCATATGTGACGAGCGTCTCGCTTACTGCTTTGATCGACGTGCTTATGAAAGCCTTTTCTAGGCGTTCAGTTAAGCCTGGTTTTTACTAGCCCCCCCCCTCCCCCCTCTTTTTTTTTTGCTCCGCTACTGCTTTCGCGCCCTTAGCCTCTTTCAGAAACGGAGCGAAATAAGCGAAATAATAAATGGCACGATGCAGCGGCAGAAAGCGACCCGACCCAAACTTCTCCCGTTTTTTTAACTCCTCCGCTTGTATTGCGCTGTTTACCATCGCCCATCGTTTCACTAACTGAACGCCTGCAACGAGCTATGACGCCCTTAACTTTTGCGCTCCATTTTATCAACTGAACGATTGAAACAGGCTGTGCGCGTAAGAACACGAATAAGATATTTCTCTGTTTCTTTACCAAGCCCAAAATTTGCAGTATTTTAATTCTATTTTACTTGCGCATCTATAGTTCTTGACATTGCTGACCTTAGCAATATGTAACAAACGAGCCTAATTATTAAACCCAGACCCCTCGAAACTCTCCCCGTCTCGTCTCAAACCTTCCGCGGGCGAAGAAACGCGCGTCTTGCAGCACTATTAATAAGGGCCTGGTCGTAGGCTAAGCAGTATACAGGATGCGTGTCACAAATTAATCAAATATATTATAATGTACTTCCACTAAGCTTGTACCCACGAAATCCAAATTGCTAACGGGCTCTAATCATCATGGAAACTCAGATTTCCTCATTGCCCTACTCCTCCGTCCCACGAGTTACAAATATTTTCAATAAATCTCTAGAATTACTTGTGCACTGTATTTCAAGGACATTCCCCAACTTCGTTTCGCAGGTCGCCATTCTTCTCCTCACAGCCGATTGGTTGGTTCACTGGATGTGGAAACAAGGCAAAGATCCCGACAACTACAGTATCCCTTACTTAACTGCGCTGGGTGACTTACTCGGCACCGGGCTCCTGGCCGTGTCGTTCCATCTTTTGTGGCTCGTAGGGGACCGCGACGCTGACGTGGGAGATTAGTGGGAACATTCCGTAAATTAATATATATGTCATATACGCTAAATCAATTATCATATTTAAGGAGAAGGATATAGATTCCACAGGAACCATGTAACTTTTATCGTCGCCGTTACAAAGTACATACGAATTTATGAATCTCAAAGCTTTGCGAGATTCTAAAGGATAATCTAACCTTTCTAAAATTGTCCTGGAATTTGATAGAGATAGTACATCTTTGAACCATCAAAAGCTAACAAAAATACATTTTTTCATATGTTTTTGTGTTGATACATTGTGCGTTCATTGACAAATTTTCGGCGTTACGCCCAAAGATAAATTAAGCAAACAAAAGTTTTTTCACTTCACCGAAATGTTGTATTTAACTGAAATAAAGTTATAAAATTTCCACCCATCATTTCAAAGAATGAAATTACAAATTTAAATGAAAATTGATATCTATTAAGAGTGCTTTTTATAAGATTCTTTACAATGAGAGGTATTTCTAAAATCTGAGTATTATCTTTCCATTAAAGATGCTGGTAAATAAAACGAATATGTTTTGTAGTTTAATAGCAGTTTATTATATCTGCAAGTACTATAAGTTTAAAACCTTTACCTGTCCTCCAACTGTTAACTGCTGAAATAAAGATATCTCTGAGGAGCAAGGTCATCACGTCAGGATTTTTTTAGGCATTCTGCACTTTCGTTCTTTCCGTGTTGCAACATTATAAAACGTCAGTAGTTATTGAAATTTATTTAGCTTCCGTAACATCACATCGTGCAGGTCAAAAAATTAAAAAAGTAAAAAACCGCGTCGAATTCAAGGAGGGAGGCGCACTCCTAGAGTTCTCTGCGGTGTGGTAACATCGATTCTTTATTTCACCGATTTGTTTTTTCGACTTGCGCAACGGACTTCGCCGAAAAGGAAGAACAACTTGTGTTCTACACATAAACAGTTGCTAGAAGTGTCTCGGGGATATTTTGGCAGAAGTCCAAAAATTCATGAAAATTACATACCCATGAGTCACAAAACCTTTAGGTCACGCAGTCTCAGTCACGCATTTCCATAAAATTTTAAGTTCTAAAGGCTAAGTTTAATTATTGTTAAATTTAAGCATCTGCACACTTCTCGACAAAATGCTATCCTCTCCACATGTCGCCACGATCTTCTTGTCGATTGTCAACGCAATGTCACGCGCGCCTGAAACTGTTTTAATTGACGATACTTGAGTTCCGTCGGGGCGAAGAATGCGAATCTCGCGCGGGATCCCGTGGTAAGCCAACAAAGTGTTGTTTGACTTGTCAAGAGCGAGCCTGATTGGATACGTGATATCAATTCCCATGTTGTCTCGTTGGCCCAAATTATGCTTGTCCTCATCGAAGGTCTGCAATAAGGAGCCCTTTTCGTTGAACACCTTGATCGCGGTTTTGTTTTTAGAGCCATCGGAGTCAATAACGTAGAATTTCCCATCAAAGAAAATTGCCTTCCCTGGACTGGCAAGATGTTCTCCACCAAGCTCCATTTCAAGACTGTATTCCTCTTTGTCATCCGCATTGTAGACTTGAATGCAAGGACGGGTTCCATTGCACGTCACCAAGATGCGTAGATCATCATCCACGGATATGTTGCTGAAGCTGATGTCTTCATCATCATCAACCTCCACAAGAGAGCGGATGAATCGGCCGGTGATATCAAACATCTGGATGCTTTGAGGTCCCTCAAAAGGCCCATCGGATACGATGATGTTGTTGTCGGGAAAGAAGAAGACTCCATCGGGACATTCCATGGACCCCTCGCCATCCTCGCCAATCTGCAGGTAGCAGTTTTTAAGAAATGAAAACAACTTTATTTATTTTCAAAATGGGGGGAATGGGGAGGGGTGCGCTGCGCTGATTGGGGGGGGGAGGGGAAAGGGGGAATGGCTTGATCACCGGGATCCGGGGTTCGGGGTTAAGAGTTCCCTTCTAACCCCCATCAGACCTTTTGGGTCTTTTTCTGACACCAAAATCCTAACAGCGGCAGGATCTTATATCACTACCCTATATAAAGTTTTAAAAAATTCATTCGTCTTGAAATATTCCCTTGCTTATCTAGGCTATAGATAAGTTTGGACTCCATCTTTCCCCCGCATCCCCCTCGTGATCACCACATCAAAATTTCCTGGATCTGCCAATGACCGCTATTTGCTGTGTAACATCAATTTGTAACGCGTGACTAACCTGACACAGAAACGACCCCTCCGGATTGAAAAGCCACACGCACTCGTTACCGTAGTCTGTGACAGCAATATGTCCGTTCTTGCCAACAGCTACAGCGCCAGGATTGAACATGCTCTTAAATTGAAGAGGTACATTCAAGGCTCGAATCACCTCAGCTGCCTCGCGGTAGTTCGCGTCAGGAGTGGCTGTTTTGTTGCCAGACGGGGTGATACCGGCCGTGTTAAGCTCACTAAGAAGGGTGGGGGCCTTGCGATTGCCTTGAATGGCCGCTAAACCTTCTTCTTTGATGCTCTGCAAAATTTTCCGACTGGGCGTAAGATCAAGAAGAAAAATGGCTCTCTTCTTCTGTTCGCCCTCTGCCCCATTCATAGACAAGCTTCTTTTCTCTCTAGCCATTGCGTCGTCGATCTGTTTATAAAGCGCCTTTTCCTTTTCATCCAGCAAACTTCTTAGCTTTGCCATCATCTCTGAAAGCTGTTTTTTCATTCTTTCCTCTTGCTCTTGCAAAGGTGGGCCCGAATCTTCGTCAGTATTCCGCGTCTTTTTGCGCTCGGCCTTCTCGGGTTTTTCTTTTCTCGGCTCCCTTGGCTTTCGCTCGCTCCTCGTCTTGTTCTGGCCGCGATGAGCCTCTACGAGCCGCAAAACACGAAAATCTGTCGGCAACATTTTGATTCCTCCCATCGGAAGAGGTAATTCTTGGCCGTCAATGGGACAGTAGATCTTGAGAGCATTTTTCCCGGTCGCAGCATCGCACAGACAATCTTGACAGATCGTGTGCAAGCAAGGAAGTTGTTTGGGTTCATCTTGATATTCCTCATTGCAGACTGGGCATAAGAAACTGTCAGCTGAAGATGAACTACTCGTTCGCGCCTTCTGAAAAAAAGCCATTGCAAATAGAAGCCTTTTTACCCGATTTGTCCGGAATTCGCTGTCTCTCGAGGACTCGTACGAAAATAAAATATTTTACCTTGTAAAGTTCAAGTGGGTTGTCGCTAATGATAAATATTTGTGATTATCCGGTTCGGTGACAAAACCTTTAGTATCACAATATGTCATCCAATCAAAATGACTGATAGTCTTTCGCTCAAAAGTCAATGGTTTGCATTAATTCCACACTTTCTGTTTTAAAACTGAGGGTGAAAGACTTAAATGTAAAGCCTCCGAGCGCCGTTAAAAGTAACATTTCATTACTCCAGAGTTGTAAGTTTATGCAGTTGTCGACAGGGGTTATAAAACGAACAGAATAATTAACGATTGAATATAATTAAATTGTTTCGACAGTGACTCTGGTGGGTCAGGCAAATGAAAACAAACCTTCGAATGGCATCGCAACAGTTCTTTTGATCGATCATTCGTTCTTCTTTATAATCAATTTCAACTGGTTTTAGCTTATGTGCTAACCACAGGGAAACAACAGATACCAGATTGGCTTCACTTTTTGAACAAACTACAACAGATGTGTGATTGCGTTACTGAGGGAGTCTCCTCAATAGACCGTTGAAACACGTATTAAGTTAGTTTGTTTACAGTATAAATTGCACGTAAAATTCCTATTAAGACTTTTCAAGCTTTTTTTTTCTGGTGAGAGCAGAGGGTAAAGATATATTCTTGGCGCCTGCTAAGAAAACAAATTTTTCAGCTTGTGGAAAGATTGGAGAGAAGCAACGATGCATGGTTCGAAATCTTTCGGTAAAAAAATGTTGAGTATTTGATAAGAAGGCAAAGTTATGGTGAAGATAGGTGGGGTGGGGGGTGGGGTGGGGAATTAAAATCTGTGTGAAACGAGTATTTGTATTTTACGTCACCTTTCAGGACTAACATGTTTAAAAAGGATTGTGCTCTAAAAATACTTCTTCTCGTATAATTATGCTATTGAAGCTGTAGAATGCGAAATATTTACGATATTCTTACGAACACGTGGGATATTCATACAATCAGTAGATCTGGGGCGAGTGTAAGAAGGGAGAGTGAGACTGTCTCGCTTCTCGCGATGCTTCCAAGAGGCTCGCGCGCGTACGGTTAATAATACTAGCCCTTAGTGTATACTGAGCTTCAGGTTTATCATAATCAGTATGGAGTCACACCTTGGCTCACGAACATGTATTAGTTTTCCAGCTGGGCTTTCTCGACAAACAACATTTTACCAGCTGGAAAGGAATTTTATTGCTCGACCAAGGAGGACGAAGTTCGGTTATAATTGGACCTCATGAGAATATCAACTGCTGATATTCTCTCCCTGACCTCTAACACCTGCATGCCCCCCCGTACCATCAGCCCGAAGGTAAACCAAAAGTGAAGGCTTGGGTTAGTGAGGCCTTCGAGATCTTTTCATCTTCCTTATGATTTCTTACAACGTAATTAACTTCAGGTGAAATGTTGCAACGTCCGACAAATTCCTCGAGAAGTACCCAGAACAGAGCTGCTTTACCCCACCCCTCCCTTCCCCGTCTTCCTCTAACGAGCCCCTCCTACTCCCCTCCCTCTCCCCTCCTTCTGCGATTCACAAGAACGCTTCGTGTGCGCGCTTAAATTGCGCGGTTACCAATTTCCAGATGGGTCAGCATTAGATTCCATCCACCAGAGTTCATATTAGCAATTATTGATATCAGATAATTTAGGTGAGGAAGACATGTTGGGGTTTAAGATGGCGGCGGTTCTCTCCGAAGAATCGCACTTGAAAGATACTGACGAAATACAAGAGAATGGAGATGACGAAGTTGAAGACATACAAGAAGCTGGCGGAGATTCTGTGAGCAAAAAGAGAAAGAAGAAGAAGAAAAAGAAGAAGGGTCAGTTGTGTTAATTACACACGCAGAGAATCGTTGATAATGTGATTACAAAACTGATACAAAAATATCAACTGAAAACAAAATGACATGCGTGTGCCACTCTTATGCCCTGTTCAAACGGTCGTGATAGTTAATGATAGTCAATGATAGTTGCAACTTTCATTCCCTATCGTTGACTATCATGGTTTAGTTCAAACGGCACAATAATTGATGATGGTTGACGAAATCACGCGATGAGATCGCGTATTAGTAAACAAATATGGCGCGCGCTGAGGTCGGCAATTTCGGTGGCATTTGAAATTTTAGTCAAGAAGTTGCGATTTGAAGATAATGAAGCTAAGCAGAAGACGATGAGAATGAAATACGAGATAATCTGCGAAATTTTGATGGCAATTTAAGTCATTTTCAATTTCGGTTTGAGCCCGTTATTGGCAAACGATAATTTTTGCAGGCTCAGCATTGGGCCTGCATGGACATTGGAGTGGTTGGGGGAGGGACTAAGAGTGCCTGTTGTTGCTTGTTGTTGCGTTGGCACCTGGAATAAAAAAGGGCCAGATGGGCCATGTTGAAGACGTGAAAAAGCTGTAGCACGCTTCCTTATTGAGTCACACTTTATTCACTTGATTTAACGATTTTACCACAACACTTTGGTTAACTCCCACTCACAATTTTCGGCTTATTAAAAAAAACTACACACTGAACACCCTGGTGTAAGCTTGTGGAACAGTACTATACATGGGGTGATAAAACACATGCTGCAAACATGTTTGTTTGGCCATGTAAAGATGAACAAAATCACTTCAAATTATCAATCTAATTAAGAATAAGTAACGTATTGTACAGTTTCCAACAGCTCCTTGACATTCCTAGTGGTGTCATGTTATGGAAACCAGGAGAAGCTCCAGCTAGATTTACTAGTAAGTTTATTAGCTGACTGTACTTTTATACAACAGGAGGTGGTGAACAAAATGGTACAGAACATACTAATGGTGAAGCACTGAATGGAGGGGCAGCAAAAGAATCCTCAGCACCTGCTGCTGAACCAGAAGCAAATGGAGAGCAGGATAATGCAGGTAACTTATCACATTGTACTCCATCTCTCTTGGCCTGAGTGTAATTCTTGTGCTTGTGCTCAAAGTCTTTAATAACCCTTCAACTCCCATGAGTGACCAAAACAGAATTTCTCCTTACAATATCAATACAATATCAACCAGATAAGTAATGAGAATAAATAATTTAATTTTACCCTAATTTGAGCCTACGGACCAACTTTTAACATCTGACAGATGAACTTTTACTAACACAGCATCAACTGACACATTTTTGAGCCAAAGAAAAAAAAAAAAAGCAATAAATTGCCTCCCCCCCAAAATACAACTAGTTGATTATGTTTCTTGTATACACAGATGGTGAAGAATTACAAGATGGAGAGACCAGCAACACAACTTCTACAAAGAAGAAGAAAAAGAAGAAGAAGAAGTCAGCAGGAGCAAAAACAACAGAAGGGGAAGACCAAAGTAATTAAAAAAAAACTATTTATCCCTAACCAGTTATAGTAAACTACTGAGATTTAAGGGAAGAAAACTGACCCCTAAACTCCCAAAATCTAACTGTTAATTCTCCCCTTAGGCTGCTACAAATTTTGTCATTAATTAGTTATGAGAATTTGGTGTTACATCAAGATGACTTCTACCTGATAAGTTAAGTTTTCTCACTACTTGTTTGGTGGATGCTGTATGGAGATTATAGAGAGAAATTAAGTATCAAACACTTCTGGGAGGTAAAGGGTTACTGAATTCCATGGAACTTTGATGTGATAAAAGTTAAACTGACTCACAGGAAAATTAATCTGAGTTCTGAAACTTTACCAATAAGTTTATATGACAATTGTCAAAAGATTAATTGGGATTATTTCTGTCTTATTTTTGTTGTAATTGATTGGATTCTAGAGACAACTATCCTGATTCAAGCCCAGGAGTGGTCAGGGTGTTGTGTTCTTTAGAAAAACACTTAACTTTCATAAAGCCTTTGTCCACCTGAGAGTTTTATTGGGTTGCAGCAAAATGCCAGAGAACCCTGAAAAAATGTGGGATGGAGTGAGTGTGGCAGCACAGGGAGCAATAAGCTGATCAGAAAGATGACCATGTAACCTTTCAAAGTAGTTAGTAATGATTATAATTTTGAATCTTTCCAAATATCAGATGGTACTTCCCCCTCTGCCAGGGAGCAGACTGATCCTCCTACTGTGGCCATATCAGAACTTTTCCCAAATGGCAACTTTCCTGTAGGACAAATAATGCATTATAAGGATGAGTAAGTATAGTGAATTATTTATTGTTATTCTAACTCGATGAAATAAATTTTTCTGTGATCATCAATAAGAAGGGTGTCTAAACAATGGCCAGTAGTGTTTGAGTTGTAAATTTAAATAGGAAAGGGTTATAAACTTGTTTTAAAATACAGCTCTTGTTTTAGCTCCAGTCTTTTGGGATTTAACCCTTTCACTGCCAATATCTCAATATCATTTTTGTTCACTTTGACTTTGATCTAAATTCAAGCAACATCCTCTAGTTGTTGTTTTTTTCTGCTCTTGCACCTTTCTGCTTGACAATGCTTTGATGCGGCAAAGAAAGATTACCTATTGGTCGATGACTCTTGGGAGCCAAAGGGTTACACCCTGATAACTTTTGATCATAGGATGTCTGTGGAATCTTCATCCAAGGGATTGAAGATTTACTGCTTCCATTTCCAATATCATACCACTCAAAATAATAATAATAAAATAGTTTATTCAAATGTCACCAAACTTAAGCTACACACTGTATAAGCTAATTGGATGTACTTTCCCTTTGTTCTCCCAAAGTACAAAACTGAAAGAAAAGGAAGCAAGTGAAATTTTTTTGTTACATTTTCAACTTTTTTTGCCCACTAGCAATCTGTGGCGTGAAACAAACGAAGAAAAGAGAGCCCTAGATCGAGCACAAAATGACATATACAGTGATGTGCGACAAGCTGCAGAAGCTCACAGACAGGTAATGAGACCAGACAGTCATTGTAGAGCTTGAGTGTACAAGACTTCTGGTAAAGTAAACTACACATGGCATTATGCCAATAATACATCATTATTATGATAAGATGAATGCATCTTTTTTTTTACAACTGACTGTAACTTATAATCGCATACCATTTTACTGTATACCAGATATCCAGATATATTAGGATGTTTGTATTTAGCATCACTGATCAGTGAAATCTCCAGCTTCCATGCAGAATCCTGCTACTAGATTTTGACAGTGATGGAAACACTGATAAACCTGGCTAAATAATTCCAAACATACAATTTCAACTAGATGTAACTTAATTTATATAAAAACTTCAACTAGAAGTAGGGAAACCAGCATGCTTTTTACAGGCATGATCTAGGATCTAAACTGAGGTGGCCAGGGTGAGACTTGATCCTGGTACTGTACTTCCTGATTGTGTGTGTAACACTCCCAGTACCTGATTGTGTTATGCTGTACCTCCTTCTCTTAGTTCCTTGTGCCTCTATTTTTTTTTTCTCTTTTCCTCAGGTCAGAAAGTATGTGCAAGGCTTTATCAAGCCAGGAATGACCATGATTGAGATTTGGTAAGGACAAAAGTTAGAAAATAAAATAAGGAACTGTGGTAGGGAAGGCATGTACACCATTCTGGATCATGTGATCTTAATTTGTTATTACCTTACAGACTTCATTGAATAGGAGAGACTGCTGGTACATGTAGTCTAGGGAGGATTTCCCATCAGATCTTCAGAGTTTAAGCCTTTGACCCCTTAGAGTGACCAGTGCCTAATTTCTCCTTACAATATCACACCTGAATCACGCATTAAGGTCACAAAAATAAAGGAAATGATCACTAACAAAAGAAGTTGTTGATTGCTAAACAAATTCTCCTTGCCAGAACCTTAAGAAATGTATAGAGAACAGTATGGAGAATATAGATACTGATGTTAGGATGTAAAGGGCTGAGGGTTAAAGATTTTGCAATAGCCATGCCTAGAAAAGCCTTGATTAGAAAGTGAACAGTCATGTCTCTTAAGAATTTTGCAAGTAGCTTTATATGCTCAGTAATACCTTTTATGGTACTAGATCTCTCCTTGATTATAACATATTAATTGTTGTACTTTTTTTGGCTGGGCAGGGAATAGAGGAAACGTTGTACTTTCCTGTTTTTGCTCTATTTTAACTACTTGTGGTTTATTTTCCCTTTTTTCGCAGTGAAAAATTGGAGGGAGCTTCTAGAAAACTCATAAATGAAAACAAACTCAAAGCAGGTGAGTGATTTTACTTATTAACTGGTAAATGTTTTATTTTCAATCATTTGGTACATGATTTGAAATGGTAAAACTTATTTACTGCCTGTGTTTTGTGGAGTTACAAACAGTCATTACCGGGGCCAGCCAAAGGCTGGAACCGGTTATAAAATGCTGTCTGTTCCTTTCGTTTTTTCAATGTCTCGTTTCCAGGGCCCCGCTTTCTGCTGTGACAAAATCGTTGTCATAGTAACTTTGGTATTACAATTTTTTTCTCAAAAGAATATTTGTGATAAAATAGACTTTCATATCGCGCGACAAACTTGGTGATGTAAACAACCCTTATACATGCTAGTCTAAACGTGGGTTACCAGGGCAAAAGTGGCCCCGGTAAAATTCACAAAGTGATTCTCGTTAATCCTTAACACCCTCAGACTGGTATTCATTCAAAAGTCATGGATTCTCCCCACCGTTCTCTTTACATTCCCTGTGATACTGACAAGGGGAATATTTTTGACAATCTGGAGCATCTTAAATGGCTGATTGTTTTCTTTATTCTCATGGCCTTTACTTTTGATGTAAGGGTGATGGTGTAAGGAGAACTTAGAAACCAGGAAGTAGGTGATGCTGCGTCAAAAAAGTCACAGGGCCATATTCAGTCTGTGTTTCTCTTAAGTTTTTTTTATGAGGGCCCCATTGAACAATCCCCACTGAAAACTGCTGTGGTGGCGAGTTGGGCTCCCTCATTAAATATTATCATCATTATCATCATCATCATCATCATCATCTTTATTATTAATATTATTATTATTAAGTTTAACTGCATCACTGAACAGACATCTCAAAATAGAAGAGCGTGTCGTATAATTAAGATCTTTTTTGTTTCTCTAGGTTTGGCTTTTCCCACTGGATGTTCCCTGAATCACTGTGCAGCTCATTACACTCCTAACGCTGGTGACAAGACAGTTCTACAGTATGATGATGTCTGCAAAATTGATTTTGGAACTCACGTGAATGGTAAGGTTAGGGTTGCGTGGGGGCTGGGGAATCTGGGTGCCTCTCTCCTTCTCCCATCGGAAGTTAGGGGTTTTTTACTTCTTGCCGGACACCAAAATTATTGTAATGACAGGATGGCATGTTAGTACATATTATGGAGAATTAAAAACTTACTTGTCTTGGAATATTTGGCTTGTTACATGGCTCTTCTGTATAACAAGTTCTCTATTCTGGATCAAAAGTTTTTTCGAGGGCCCAACCCCCCCCCCCTTTCCTCCTTCTCTCCTTCTCTCCTTCCCTCCTCCCCTCCCCCCCTTCTACCTGATAAAAAATTTTTGGATCAAAATTTCTTCATTTTTTCTTATTTCATTTTATTAGATTGTTTTGAATGATTAGTTTTTTTTATTCCCTCTTTTCAGGGAGAATCATAGATTGTGCCTTCACTGTATCATTTAACCCCAAATATGACAACCTGCTTGCTGCAGTTAAAGATGCCACAAATACTGGAATAAAGGTGCAGTGTTAAATTCATTGTGTTCTTAATAGTTGTTTGTGTCTTTTTGTTTTGTTTTATTCTTGATGTGAATTCTCTACTAACTTCAGAATTTTGAATATGCTTATAGTCTATACAAGGTATCTCTCCAGATAATAACCAAAAGGGTGAATTTAAAGGAGACTAGTGTGTCTTGAGAAGAAAGAGAGACAATTCTAATAATTAAAACTGAAATTGTCTTTATTTATATACAGGAAGCTGGAATTGATGTGAGGCTTTGTGATGTTGGTGAAGCCATACAAGAAGTGATGGAATCTTACGAAGTTGAACTGAATGGAAAAACTTACCGAGGTGTGACTATTGTATTTTCAAAAAAAAAAAGTATCGTATCCAAAAGATAATTCTAGAGCCCTTTGCTAATTATAAATTGATATGTTTTACTCAACAGTGAGACCAATAAGGAATCTGAATGGTCATTCCATAACACCGTACAGGATCCATGCTGGAAAAACAGTGCCAATGGTTAAAGGTGGAGAAGCTACAAAAATGGAGGTGAATTTGTGTTCATCGCATGATGCTGAAATGTTCTTTACCTTTTTGTGATTGTATTTTAAACTGGAATGTTTTATCTCTCTGCCCGCGTGTTATGTTTTTTGGCATTCATGAGAAACTATTGCATTGTTGACCATTTGGCACCATTTTGTGTCCCGATCACATCACTGACATGCAGGCTCTTTCACTTTAGGAGAATGAATTCTTTGCTATTGAAACATTTGGCAGCACAGGGAAGGGTGTGGTTCATGATGACATGGATTGTTCACATTACATGAAGAACTTTGAGGTTGGACATGTTCCTTTGAGGTAAGACTTGAAGCAACAAGGCTGTGGAATGAAAAATAAAATAATTTGCTCCCAGAGACATCATAGAGCACAACCTGAACTTGATTTATTGGCATGTGATGCTGGCATCTTATTAAGGCAAGTTCACATTACAAGCTCCCAATGGTTTATCCTACCAGCCATGGTTGATTTTGAGTTGAAGTGAACAGTGGGAGGGTGGGGTGGGGCAGACAAGATTTTTATTACCCAATCCCCTCCCCCCTCCATCCTCTTTACTGGGCTCTCAGCCCTTGAGTACTAATTAATTTCTCTCTCCAGCTTTCCACTGCTATTAAAAAAAAATTGGCAGCTATAATTATCACCAAGAAAATACTGAGCACTCTCTCACCAAAATCACACCTGCTCTGCAGGCTGTTGACCTATATCTCTTTTTCACAACTTTACATTCCTTAGGTTGCCCAGAGCTAAACAACTTCTGAATGTCATCAATGAAAACTTTGGCACCCTGGCCTTCTGTAGGAGGTGGTTGGATCGGCTGGGACAGGTACTTTCAATGATAGAATAGCATCTCTCTCTTGGCAGGACAATGATTGCATGTGTCAGATTTTATAAAAATTTAGAATGATCATATTATGAAATTTTGCTAATTGTTTCTGTTGCTTTGAGTGGTATCCTCTATAAAATGACAGCCTCTGCTACCAAAAACTATCAGGAAAAAGGCACACAAAAATGTGTCTCTCTCATTGGTTGAGTTCACTGCACCCTTTTGCTGATTGGTCTGAACTCTTTGCACATGACTTTGAACTTGGCAGATAAACAACCAATCAGGGACTGTTTCACTAAAGTCTTAAATCTTACTATTTTACTGCCCAAAAGGACTGACTAAACAACAGGATCAAACAAGAAAGCCTTCCTTATACTCTTGCCTTCTTGTTTTAAGTCTTTCATTGGATCTTTTTGTTGTAGCTTTTCATTGCACTGCAATCCACTTGTGGCAGAATGAGGACAATTTGCATAATCCCCTAAAACTAAAACCTGCTTACAGCTAGTACATGCCTGCCAAATTACTGTGCTCTAAGAATATTTTCTACCTTGCAGACAAAGTATCTTATGGCTCTGAAGAGCCTGTGCAATGCAGGAGTGGTTGATCCCTGCCCACCCCAGTGTGACATCAAGGGTTGTTACACCGCTCAGTTTGAGCACACAATACTGTTGAGGCCAACAGTGAAAGAAGTGATCAGCCGAGGAGATGATTACTAGGAGTTTTGTTTTAAACCCTTTCACTTTCAAGATCTAAATATAACTTCTCAGCGCTGTTGGCTACACATTCTTAGTAAGTAAGTAGTGAGGATCTGGTTTTTAATCAAGTAGTATCTGCTTGTTGATAATTTTCTTTCTTCTCATCACGACTGTTCTCAGAAGTGTATTGCACTTGTAAGGAGAATTTCTTTTTTGGTCACCACTGGGAGTGAAAGGGTTAATCCTATCTTAACTAACTTAAATACTTAAATTAAAGTAAGAAAACCAAAATTAATTTGCAACATCCTGGGAAGCAAGCAGACCATTTGGTCAGGAGAGGGGCTAGGAATGTGCATTGGGTCTATTTAGCCTGTTCCATGCATTCAGCAAGAAAAATGGTCAGAAATATTTAATGGCACAATGATAATGGTAAGGCAAAAAGGGAGATTTGGGTTGGGTCATATTTATTATGTGCCTTTTCCAAACCTCTCGCTTTTTTTTTACGCCTCTGGTACTATCACATTTACTCTTGGACTTCATTTTACTAACTCAGTCTTACTCAGTGATGTCTGAAACTGGGACTGCAGCTAGGATCAATCAGAAACTATATATAATAATAATAATAATAATAATAATAAATATAATAATAAATAATAATAATAATAATAATAACTTTATTTAAGTGTCAGTGTATTTTTAGCACTGCTGTGCTAATTGGGGACACTGTAAATAAGGAAACAAATATTGTAAATGAACAGAAACTCGTTAAAAACCCCAACTGGTAGGAGGCAGACCAGTTGGCTATTTACAAAGCGTGCAGGAGTTGAATTCGGGGCCACCGAAGACAAATCCATCCAGTGGCAGTGAGGAGGACTTGAACCCGGGACCTCTGGCTTACAAGTGCAGCGCCCTAACCACTAGGCCACGCTCGCCTCCTTAAACTAGAAACTAGAAACTAGAAAACTAGCTTTTATTTTCATTAGAATAAAAAATGTAATAGTTATGGCTGAAAAACCTAGAAACTGCTGTTGTTAATGTTCTAAACCAAGGTGGAATGATATGCTCAAGAAACAAAAAGGGAAAACCAAAACAGAAAAACTGAATTATCCTGTAATACCTCTTACTGATGCAGTACTGTAGAGGGTTTCTTAAGAAACTTTCCCCCCTTAATAGTATCAATGGTTTAGTTAATATATACTTGAGATTTAATATTCAGAGAGAGCAGTCTGACATTTACATACTTTTTAGGAAAACTTTGAGAGTAAATTTTAACAGGTAAAAGCATCCTTTGCATTTGATTAAAAACATAAACATGGTAATTAACAGAATTTGCAATAAATGTGTTACTTATTTTACACAAGCGAAGAGTGTGCTTATAAATTTAATTCTGTGTTGGGAGAGTTTTATAGTGTTTTTGTGCTTTCACTAGTTTCTGATTACCTTCTTTTTTGAACACAATGAGAATGAATTACTGCGGTAGCTTTGTTTTTCTTACATTAAATTATCAGTTGTAATGAAGGATTAGATGACATATTGCTAAGAAACTAGCTAGACAACCTGCTGGCATACAGTCAGTATGCATATTCTCCAAACTGTTCTCTATGCATTTTATAAGATTCTGACGTGGAGAATTTGTGGCAGTCAAAGAGTCTTGTCCACGGTCATTTTCTTCATTCTCTTGACTTTAATGTTTGATTCAGGTGTGATGCTGTAAGGTGAAATTAAATGCATCACTTTTTGGGGTTAAAGAAGTTAATTAAATAGAGTTGTAAAGGCTCATCGGCACAGCCCCTTTTATAGCTGCTCCATAAAAGGATCAGAACTCAGTTCCTATTGGTTTACTGCAAAACAACCAACTTGGGTTCCTTGTGTGCTGATTTATTTCTTGTAAACTTTTTTGTAAACTTCTTTAAATGCAAACTTTCTTTGGGGTTTTAATTGACGATCATGCATGTGTTGCTTTTACCTGACTTTCGACTACAGATAAATCACTGACAATTACACTATAAAGGTTGAGTCTTCCATTCTTCCCATATCACTGAAAAGACCACTCCCACAGCATTTCTGCTATCTCCTTGGGTGTGTTCATGAAAAAGATTAAGTTTCTTTAGTTCCCAATAAAATTTATACATTGGTCACTTGGGCAGAAAAGACCATTGCTTCTATATATTTATGTAGTTTCCCTTTGCAACACTTACCAGTTTTCCATCACAACACTTCTCACAACCTAAGCTAAACCCCTGTTTCAAAAAAACTAATCAGTCACATCTGCTATATTGGTCAAATCACCACCACAAAAATTTGCTGGTCTGGGGTTCAATTCCTTCTAGCTAAGGTGGATTTTTTTCCTTCATCCTTTACAAAGTTATCATCAGAGTCAAGTGATTAGTTGTTGTCAGTCAAATTTTCTAAGTCTGGTTTGTTTAAACTGATTGGTCAGTTTTGCAGTGACGATATTGGCTGCAATGTTTATGGTAAAAAACAGATTGTGAGCAGAATTTACTAACAAAGCAAGAAAGGGGTGAATATATAATGGTTTATTTATTTTCAAAGTGATAGCCATACATAAATGATTACTTGATACATTATTGCAGATAGGAGCAACATTTTGTTGTTCAGTACTGTAAGGACAACTGGCTTCTTCAGTCAAACTTTCCCTCAAAAATATTTTAAACAGCAGTGCGAGGTAAAGCTAGAAGCACCAGTTGAAAAACAATCAAATGCATTGTTAACAAGCATTCGATCCTTCTACTCCTGAACCAATTAAAAATATTATTTTCCCTTAGTACTGGAAAACAACTGATAAGAGAAAAACATTGTTTTCAAAGCAATGACACCAAATTTTTTGGAGCTGTTCAACCTTTAACTCCCAGGAGTGACCAAGACAGAATTTCTCCTTACAATATCAAACAGACAAGTGATGAGATCAAAGAAAGATATATATTAGGGGATTATTGGTTGATCCCATACCAAATGCTCTGAACTAACATCACAAGATTTATATGGCAGACAGTAAGGAGAATTACTAAAGAGATCTTGGGAGTTAGAGGGTTAACAAAGAAATGTATTCATAGCAGCTGAAAGAATTTAATACCTGCTTTTTTAACAATTGGTTCATACGTCAGCGTGCGTTCATCGAGATATGAAACACCCAGGAAGTTTGGAGAGTACAAAAGATGTGAAGGAGTTGCTGGAGGCGTAGCTGAGAGCAACTCTAGCTTCTCGAGTGTTCTCCAAACTTCCCAAGTGCTTCATATCTCAATGAATGCACAGCTGATGTATGAACCAATTCTTTTATAACATTTTCAACCCGAAGGAAAATTTTTTTTCTTGAGGGATTTGTTTGCTGACATCGTGAGCGGGCACAATAGGAGTATGAAGCATGTTTGCACAATTTGATTTGATTACACAAATTTACTAGCTATGTTATACTAGTAGTTGACAGGTTTAGTCTTCTGAATCCTTCACATTCATTACACTTGCATGTAAACAGAGTATATTTAATATATGTTATGATCTTAAGATGTTGAATTGCAAATGCTCTCCAAGACAGACAGTCTTCCTTCAACTAACAACAGCTTTAACTTTCAGAAGTGATTGGCATGTAAGTTCTCCCTAAAGTATCCCTACATTACCCTGAAAACAGGTAATGAGAATATTCAAACTTATCAGGTATAACTTTTTATCTTGATCTAACAACTAATTCTTGAAACTGATTTAGAAGGAAATATATTGCAGCTAGAGGGGAACTTACAATTGAATCTTGAGAGCTTAAGAGTTAACAAACTTAGTCAAAGTTGAACTGCTGTATCTGAAAATTGTTGCGGTGATCAGCCTAATTTATGAGTATTTTTTATGCTTTCCAAGGCTGTCCATTCACAGAGATGTTAGCTGAACCTATTTTCAATTAAATTATGTTCCTGGACGTCTCTTTAAGCCATACTCTGTATAAACTTGCCCTATCACAATACTGCCCAGACATATAGCTGACATTACACTCCCCCCCTGGACATAGATGTTGGTGTTCTTCACAAACCAGTTTGAATAAAAACCCAGGCAAAGAGTGATACAGGCAACAAGATACACTAGTGAACCACACATGGCATGAAGTTGTTTCAATTGTTTAGGCTTCATCATACTGGCAAGTGGTAGCTTGGAGTACAACACTCCAACACCTTGAAGAGATTGGAGACAGATGAGAATCACAGTGCATAACCCCAGGCATCCATGCCAGCTTTGAAAGTGAAGCTTGTTGTGAATATTTTTGTTATAGTAGATGGCAGCAAAGCCACCCACGGCAGCGACTACAGCTGAGGTTTGAAGTATCCAATGTAGTTTGACCTTAGTGGCACGAGGAGCTGAGGCAATGAGAGAACTTTGAGGTGAAAACATCAGGATCGCTTCAAGCATCAGGAAACTGAACTACATTAAAAAAGTCTGCAGTTAGAAAAACTACTCAAGGCTATCTAATGATTCAAGGAAATTTGCCAATGTATGAGCACAATAATTATATTAGAATTTTAATATGATTATTGTATTTCCTTGAATAAGCACCAAGATTCTAATAGGCACCCTCCCTATATAGGCTCCTACCCCCTTGGTCAAATATCAAACAAGCACTCCCTCACTTTCTTAAGCAGTACGAATACAAGGAAAAACTGTTTCGATTGCCTCATTATTTATAACTTTTCAAGCTTCAACACAGCAGAATCAGCACAGGAGAATAAATAAGCGCTTTTGAGTGCAAATAAGGCAAAAATATTTGTTATGAAAATGTCTCTAAGATACCGAGCGAGCTTTCAACTACGGATCAGATTTTACTTACACCCAAGGCCATCAGAGTTGGATGCCACGAAAACAGACCTGAGTAATGAAAAAAATCACGGATAGATGTACTTGTAACATTAATCAACATATTGTAGCAAAAAATTTTTATGTGTTAACTATCAAGTAAGCACAACTGGACGATGGATCATTGAAAGCAACAATGAAGTACTGGTAATGATGAACATATTGTTAGGGATAACTTCGTCTTCATTATGTAACACTGAGCTTTCGCCAAATGAAGCTCTTTAGTTCGTATGTTCTGCCTTCCGAAGGTAGGTCATGTGATAATACTAGAGCACTGTTTCTTTCAAATTTCCTCTTATTCACGTGCATATATGTGTAGGCGTAATTTACAAAATACAAAGAACGAAATTCCCCTTGAGACCTTCGATCAAGAAGAAAACAAAACATTTAAGCTAAAGAGGTCTAAGAAGGCTTCACGATTAAACAATATTTAAACAAACTTACTTGATCCAGGCTGAGCAAGCCAGATCACTAGCAAAGAGAGTCCTACAGCAACAATATGGACCATTTTCAAGAGAAAGCTCCTCTGATCACCGGTGTTTTTGTCAAGCACAGCAACCACTGCCTCGCTCGGGATCATCTGTTCTTTCATTTGGAAATTGGTAACCGCGCAATTTAAGAGCGCACACGAAGCGTTCTTGTGAATCGCAGAAGGAGGGGAGAGGGATGGGAGAGGGAGGGGAGTAGGAGGGGCTCGTTAGAGGAAGACGGGGAAGGGAGGGGTGGGGTAAAGCAGCTCTGTTCTGGGTACTTCTCGAGGAATTTGTCGGACGTTGCAACATTTCACCTGAAGTTAATTACGTTGTAAGAAATCATAAGGAAGATGAAAAGATCTCGAAGGCCTCACTAACCCAAGCCTTCACTTTTGGTTTACCTTCGGGCTGATGGTACGGGGGGGTATGCAGGTGTTAGAGGTCCAGGGAGAGAATATCAGCAGTTGATATTCTCATGAGGTCCAATTATAACCGAACTTCGTCCTCCTTGGTCGAGCAATAAAATTCCTTTCCAGCTGGTAAAATGTTGTTTGTCGAGAAAGCCCAGCTGGAAAACTAATACATGTTCGTGAGCCAAGGTGTGACTCCATACTGATTATGATAAACCTGAAGCTCAGTATACACTAAGGGCTAGTATTATTAACCGTACGCGCGCGAGCCTCTTGGAAGCATCGCGAGAAGCGAGACAGTCTCACTCTCCCTTCTTACACTCGCCCCAGATCTACTGATTGTATGAATATCCCACGTCTTCGTAAGAATATCGTAAATATTTCGCATTCTACAGCTTTAATAGCATAATTATCCGAGAAGAAGTATTTTTAGAGCACAATCCTTTTTAAACATGTTAGTCCTGAAAGGTGACGTAAAATACAAATACTCGTTTCAAACAGATTTTAATTCCCCACCCCACCCCCCCACCCCCACCTATCTTCACCATAACTTTGCCTTCTTATCAAATACTCGACATTTTTTACCGAAAGATTTCGAACCATGCATCGTCGCTTCTCTCCAATCTTTCCACAAGCTGAAAAATTTGTTTTCTTAGCAGGCGCCAAGAATATATCTTTACCCTCTGCTCTCACCAGAAAAAAAAAACTTGAAAAGTCTTAATAGGAATTTTACGTGCAATTTATACTGTAAACAAACTAACTTAATACGTGTTTCAACGGTCTATTGAGGAGACTCCCTCAGTAACGCAATTACACATCTGTTGTAGTTTGTTCAAAAAGTGAAGCCAATCTGGTATCTGTTGTTTCCCTGTGGTTAGCACATAAGCTAAAACCAGTTGAAATTGATTATAAAGAAGAACGAATGATCGATCAAAAGAACTGTTGCGATGCCATTCGAAGGTTTGTTTTCATTTGCCTGACCCACCAGAGTCACTGTCGAAACAATTAAATTATATTTAATCGTTAATTATTCTGTTCGTTTTATAACCCCTGTCGACAACTGCATAAACTTACAACTCTTATTTCTGACCATTTTTCTCGCTGAATGCATGGAACAGGCTAAATAGACCCAATGCACTTTCCTAGCCCCTCTCCTGACCAAATGGTCTGCTTGCTTCACAGGATGTTGCAAATTAATTTTGGTTTTCTTAATACTTTAATTTAAGTATTTAAGTTAGTTAAGATAGGATTAACCCTTTCACTCCCAGTGGTGACCAAAAAAGAAATTCTCCTTACAAGTGCAAGACACTTCTGAGCACAGTCGTGATGAGAAGAAAGAAAATTATCAACAAGCAGATACTACTTGATTAAAAACCAGATCCTCACTACTTACTTACTAAGAATGTGTAGCCAACAGTGCTGAGAAGTTATATTTAGATCTTGAAAGTGAAAGGGTTTAAAACAAAATTCCTAGTAATCATCTCCTCGGCTGATCACTTCTTTCACTGTTGGCCTCAACAGTATTGTGTGCTCAAACTGAGCGGTGTAACAACCCTTGATGTCACAGAGGGGTGGGTAGGGATCAACCACTCCTGCATCGCACAGGCTCTTCAGAGCTATAAGATACTTTGTCTGCAAGGTAGAAAATATTCTTAGAGCACAGTAATTTGGCAGGCATGTACTAGCTGTAAGCAGGTTTTAGTTTTAGGGGATTATGCAAATTGTCCTCATTCTGCCACAAGTGGATTGCAGTGCAATGAAAAGCTACAAAAAAAAGATCCAATGAAAGACTTAAAACAAGAAGGCAAGAGTATAAGGAAGGCTTTCTTGTTTGATCCTGTTGTTTAGTCAGTCCTTTTGGGCAGTAAAGTAGTAGGATTTAAGACTTTAGTGAAACAGTCCCTGATTGGTTGTTTATCTGCCAAGTTCAAAGTCATGTGCAAAGAGTTCAGACCAATCAGCAAAAGGGTGCAGTGAACTCAACCAATGAGAGAGACACATTTTTGTGTGCCTTTTTCCTGATAGTTTTTGGTAGCAGAGGCTGTCATTTTAAAGAGGATACCACTCAAAGCAACAGAAGCAATTAGCAAAATTTCATAATATGATCATTCTAAATTTTTATAAAATCTGACACATGCAATTATTGTCCTGCAAAGAGAGAGATGCTATTCTATCATTGAAAGTACCTGTCCCAGCCGATCCAACCACCTCCTACAGAAGGCCAGGGTGCCAAAGTTTTCGTTGATGACATTCAGAAGTTGTTTAGCTCTGGGCAACCTAAGGAATGTAAAGTCATGAAAAAGAGATATAGGCCAGGATTTTGGCGAGAGTATTTTCTTGGTGATAATTATAGCTGCCACTTTTTTTTATAGCAGTGGAAAGCTGGAGAGAGAAATTAATTAGTACTCAAGGGCTGAGAGCCCAGTAAAGAGGATGGAGGGTGGAAGGGATTGGGTAATAAAAATCTTGTCTGCCCCACCCCACCCTCCCACTGTTCACTTCAACTCAAAATCAACCATGGCTGGTGGGATAAACCATTGGGAGCTTGTAATGTGAACTTGCCTTAATAAGATGCCAGCATCACATGCCAATAAATCAAGTTCAGGTTGTGCTCTATGATGTCTCTGGGAGCAAATTATTTTATTTTCATTCCACGGCCTTGTTGCTTCAAGTCTTACCTCAAAGGAACATGTCCAACCTCAAAGTTCTTCATGTAGTGAGAACAATCCATGTCATCATGAACCACACCCTTCCCTGTGCTGCCAAATGTTTCAATAGCAAAGAATTCATTCTCCTAAAGTGAAACAACCTGCATGTCAATGATGTGATCGGCATGTAAGGTGGGGACACAGAAGGCTATTAAAGGCATCCAGCAGGTAAAATGATGCCAAATGGTCAACACTGCAATAGTTTCTCATGAATGCAAAAAAACATAACACGCGGGCAAAGAAATAAAACATTCCAGTTCAAAATACAATCACAAAAAGGTAAAGAACATTTCAATATCATGCGATGAACACAAATTCACCTCCATTTTTGTAGCCTCTCCTCCTTTAACTATTGGCACTGTTTTTCCAGCATGGATTCTGTACGGTGCTACGGAATGACCATTCAGATTCCTTATTGGTCTCACTGTTGAGTAAAACATATCAATTTATAATTAGCAAAGGGCTCTAGAATTATCTTGAGGATACGATACTTTTTTTTTAGAAAATACAATAGTCACACCTCGGTAAGTTTTTCCATCCAGTTCAACTTCGTAAGATTCCATCACTTCTTGTATGGCTTCACCAACATCACAAAGCCTCACATCAATTCCAGCTTCCTGTAAATAAATAAAGACAATTTCATGTTATTAGAATTGCTGCATATCTCTGGAGAGATACCTTGTGTAGACTATAAGCATATTCAAAATTCTGAAGTAAGTAGAGAATTCACATCAAGAATAAAACAAAACAAAAACACACAAACAACTATTAAGAACACAATGAATTTAACACTGCACCTTGATTCCAGTGTTTGTGGCATCTTTAACTGCAGCAAGCAGGTTGTCATATTTGGGGTTAAATGATACAGTGAAGGCACAATCTATGATTCTCCCTGAAAAGAGGGAATAAAAAAAACTAATCACTCAAAACAATCTAATAAAATGAAATAAGAAAAAAAAATTTTGATCCAAAAATTTTTTATCAGGTAGAAGGGGGGGGGGGTGGGAGGGAAGGAGAGAAGGAGGAAAGGGGGGGGGGGGTTGGGCCCTCGAAAAAACTTTTGATCCAGAATAGAGAACTTGTTATACAGAAGAGCCATGTAACAAGCCAAATATTCCAAGACAAGTAAGTTTTTAATTCTCCATAATATGTACTAACATGCCATCCTGTCATTACAATAATTTTGGTGTCAGGCAAGAAGTAAAAAACCCCTAACTTCCGATGGGAGAAGGAGAGAGGCACCCAGATTCCCCAGCCCCCACGCAACTCTAACCTTACCATTCACGTGAGTTCCAAAATCAATTTTGCAGACATCATCATACTGTAGAACTGTCTTGTCACCAGCATTAGGAGTGTAATGAGCTGCACAGTGGTTCAGGGAACATCCAGTGGGAAAAGCCAAACCTAGAGAAACAAAAAAGATCTTAATTATAAGACACACTCTTCTATTTTGAGATGTCTGTTCAGTGATGCAGTGAAACTTAATAATAATAATATTACTAATAATAATAATGATGATGATGATGATGATGATGATGATAATGATGATAATATTTAACGAGGGAGCCCAACTCGCCACCACAGCAGTTTTCAGTGGGGATTGTTCAATGGGGCCTTCATAGAAAAAATTTAAGAGAACTACAGACTGAATATGGCCGTGTGACTTTTTTGACGCAGCATCAACTACTTCCTGGTTTTAAGTTCTCCTTACACCATCACCCTTACATCAAAAGTAAAGGCCATGAGAATAAAGAAAACAATCAGCCATTTAAGATGCTCCAGATTGTCAAAAATATTCCCCTTGTCAGTACCACAGGGAATGTAAAGAGAACGGTGGGGAGAATCTATGACTTTTTAATGAATACCAGTCTGAGGGAGTAAAGGATTAATGACTGTTTGTAACTCCACAAAACACAGGCAGTAAATAAGTTTTAACATTTCAAATCATGCACCAAATGATTGAAAATAAAACATTTACCAGTTAATAAGTAAAATCACTCACCTGCTTTGAGTTTGTTTTCATTTATGAGTTTTCTAGAAGCTCCCTCCAATTTTTC